AAAATTTACATACGGTGACTGCTGCAAATGGACAAACCATTGAAGCTATCGGAATAGGCAATGTTAGAGCTGAAGCCAATGTCAATGGTAAAATTGAGCATATATTGCTAAAGGATGTTTGGTATGTTCCAAACATTAAAAGAAACTTATTCTCAGTACTCTCTGCACACGATAACTCATCTGCAAGTACGTTTGAGTCTACGCCGAAACAATGCGTACTAAAAGTAAATGGAAATACCAAAGTAATTGGAACTAGAGAGATTAAAGGAGGACTATACAAGTTAAATATAAAATGTGTAACCCCTAATAATCAAGAAGTCAATCAGTTACTGTCTAATCCATTACAAGTGTACCATGAAAGGTTGGCACATCAGAATAAAAGACATGTGCGTCAGTTATTTGAACAAGAGTTTGGGTTAAAAGTTGAGAATAGACAATCTGACATTTGCGAGGGCTGCATCTATGGAAAAGCTCATAAGCAATCTTTTGGTAAAAGGATTAGAGCCACTAAACCTGGTGAACTAATTCACACTGATATTTGCGGACCTTTTCCATATTCGATTGGCAATAAGTTACGATATTATATTCTATTCAAAGATGACTATACACGCTATCGCTATATCTACTTTCTTAGTCATAAGTCTGAAGCAGCTTCAAAGCTTAAGCTATTCCTGCAACAAGCTAAAGTTGCGACACACACTGTCAAAGAAATGTTGAGTGATAATGGTGGAGAGTTTACAAGTATTGAATTCAAAAATATCCTAGCTCAATGCGGCATAAAGCAAAGATTTACAATGCCTCATACTCCCGAACAAAATGGATCTGTAGAGCGTGAGAACAGAACTGTAGTAGAAGCAGCTCGTGCTGTCATGCATGCACATGAGAAAATTCCTGATGGCCTATGGGCAGAAATAGTTGATGCGACAGTCTACGTGTTGAATCGCACAGGGCCGACTAGCGTGTCAGGAAAGTCTCCTCATGAGCTATGGTTCGGAAAGAAGCCAGCGATAAAACATCTTAGAATTTTAGGCTGCACATGCTATGCCCACATTCCTAAAGTAAATCGCAAGAAGCTTCAGGAAAAAGCTCAAAAAGGTATACTAATTGGTTACGAAGGTGATGAGGGCTATAGAATTTGGGATAAAGAATCATCCAAACTGATTAGATCCAGAGACGTGACATTCGAAGAGATTCCGCTACTGGGAAAATCTAGGGATGAACCTGAACCAGAAAAGCCAACACCTAACCTACGTAAAAACCACAACTTTTCTTTTCCAAGTCTCTCAGCACAAGTCGAAAAAAACGATTTCGAGACAACTGTTGAACGGAATGTAGTGATTGAAGAACAAAACGAAATTACTGAAGACGTTTCTTCGTCAATGGCACGTTGTGAGACAGATGATGAGACTGGTGATAATCCAAACGAGTCGTTGTTCGAATCAGCTCGCTCCGAAGAAGACAATGAAGAACTCACTGAAATTAATGAACCTGATGATCCTGAGTTAACCAATGAGGAAACTGAAAGACATCGGATGTCATTACGAAACAGAGAGAATCTTAAGCCACCTGTAAGGTTCGGCGATTACATCATGGCGCTCGAAGCTGATAGTATATTTGAACCGAAAACCTTCAAACAGGCGATAATAAGGCTTCATGCAGAGATAAAGAGAAATGGCAACAAGCTATCGAAAGTGAACTAAACTCACTAAGAGAAAATAAAACTTGGGAGGTAGTCGAATTACCGAAAGGCAGGAAAGCAATTCCTTGTAAGTGGATATTCAAAGTTAAGACTAACCCGGATGGCTCTGTAGACAAATACAAAGCTCGGCTAGTCATAAAAGGGTACTCGCAAAGAAAGGACATAGATTTCCATGAAACTTTTAGTCCTGTTGCCAGAAGCAGCACTATAAGAGCATTGTTGAGCATTGCTGCTTAGGATAAGCTAAAATTAGCACAATTTGACGTCTCCACAGCCTTTCTTTATGGAACTTTAGACGAAGAAGTCTATATGAAACCGCCTGAAGGTTATACTGGTGAAAAGCATGTCTTCAAGTTGAAGAAAAGCTTATATGGGCTTAAACAAGCCCCACTATGTTGGAACAGATGCATCACAGACTATATCATGAAGACAGGCTTCAAACAAAGCCAATATGACCCTTGTCTCTTCGTAAGGACAAGAGGGAAAGAGAAAATTATTCTAACCCTATACGTTGACGATGGTCTAATGGCGTCTTCAAGCGAGAAAGAGGCTAACTGTTTTCTAGAAGAAATGAGAGCACGTTTCAAAATAACAGTGAAACCAGCAAGCTATTTCCTTGGCATGGAGATAAAAAGGAACTCCGACGGCTCCATTCTTCTCCATCAGAAGGCATATATTGCACGTGTACTAAAACTGTTTGGCATGGAAGACTCTAAACCGGTGCCAACGCCGATTCTGAAGCCAAGTAATGTCCAAATAGATAGAGAAGTTGCTATAACTTTCCCATATCGAGAAGCAGTTGGTACCTTAGCATATTTGATGACAGGTACAAGGCCAGACATAGCCTATGCTGTTAGCGTGGCATCTCGTAATTTAGAAAAGCCAACAAAGGAGGATATACTTAACGTCAAAAGGATAATGCGCTATCTTAAAGGAACGATAGATGAAGGCATTATCTACAGACCGGATAAAGTCCTCAAGTTAGAATGCTATAGTGATGCTGATCATGGAGGTTGCATGGAAACTGGAAGGTCAACCTCGGGCATTTTATGCATGTACGCAGGAGGCCCGATATCATGGAGCAGCAAACGGCAAAATACCGTGGCCATCTCCTCCACAGAGGCAGAAATTGTAGCTGCGAGTGAAGCCGCCAGAGAAATCATTTGGCTAAAAAGCATTTACAAAGATATTACTAATGAAGAATGTCAAGCATCCCTGAATGTGGATAACGAGTCTGCCATCAGATTAGCTAAGAATCCGCCCGAGTTCCACCAAAGAACAAAGCATATTAGGATTCGATCTTTCTTCATACGAGAATGCATTCAAGATGGGAGCATTAGTATATGTTACGTGCCTGCCACTAGACAGATTGCTGACATCCTCACCAAACCACTTTATGGGCCCAGAACCGAGACGCTGAAGAAGATGGCTGGTGTTTCAAAGAGAGGTGAATATTAGGACAACACTATGTAGTCCGTTGCTTAGCGACCAGCTATTGTTTTGTCAGTGTTGTATTGTAAGAAAAATTGATATTGAAGTATACACTTATTATCGTCAAAGGTTCTTTATTTTAAACTATATATCTCCTACCGCTTTATCTTTAACAATTTTAGTGAACGACTATTTCAATCACTGCAATATGTCATCAATTCAGTCAATAAAAACCGTAACAGCTCTTTGAATGATAGATTATTTCATCAGCTTTGTGTTACTAATGACGAAGATTTCAACCGTTTGTTATTTCATACTGAAGTTCGTTGGCTATCAAAAGGCAATTGTCTAACTCGATTTTACAACCTGTTTGACTCTGTGATAGAATTATTGGAAACTAAAGATACTGAATTACGCAACAAGCTCATTACAACAAAGAATAATAGCTTACATGACAGACCTGTATAAATTGTTCGACATGAATCTCCAACTGCAAGGTGATGAACTAAATTTAATTAAAACAAAAAATGTCGTTGATGCTTTCGCAGCCAAACTGCTTCTACACAAAAAGAATATGGGCAGACGTGAGTTTCACAATTTTCCGAATTTATTAGTATCCTGCAGTAACGATGACTTGTTTGCCTACTGCCTACATTTAAATAAAATAAATAAATAAATAACGCACACACTCAACATAGCCCCGCACTAGGGAAACCCTGTGTCGCGGGTGCCATAGACACACACATAGACAACCACAAATTACAACCAAACTCACGAGAGAAATAAATGTAAGGCATACAAACATTTCTCCCGACCCGGGAATCGAACCTGGGACCTCTGCGTGGCAGTCCGGCATGGTAACCGTTCGGCCACGGAGACAGTTTTTGAAATTTGAAAAACCTCCACATTGACTTCACCGAACGATACCAGGACATTTTGAACTTGAAAATACCAGACTGGAAGTTGAATCCGTTTTCAAATGTCAACACAGCAATATCACCTCAGCTGGAAGAAGAACTTATAGATCGACAACGAACGAGGAATTAAAAATCAAGTTCGAAAATGGCTACCAAGAATTTTGGGTACAAAAACCGATCTCGCAATTGTACCCTGGATTGTAGTCAATTGTTCAACGATTCTTGATAGCATTCCCATCGTCATATTTGTGTGAATGTGGTTTTAGTGCGGTGACAACGCTGTTTACTAAATTGATAAAATCGTTTGCATGTAACGGAACGGGGGGACTGAACTGATATCAACAAACTTATTAAACAGCATCAGATTCATCCTTCACATTAGTTTTTATATTAGAATCGATTATGTTTGTTTTATTTTGAATAAAAGATACTCTGTCTGAATACTATAAAGTTGATGACCAATGAGAATGATTATTGAAATAATATACATTCTCATTGGCACGTGTAGCCCGTAAGAGTTAACTTGAGTCCTAAGCGCCGTTGTGTACTGCCTACTGCGCTCAGGTCTCAAGTTAACTCTTGCGGGTTATACTAAAAGTCTCGTTTAGAATGAATGTTTAATCTCCGCTAATATAGTTCACAATAATTAATGTCATTTAAAGTTATAGTGGTTTTTAAGTAGGTGAAAAAATGGGGGCGGTAAAAAATAATTTATTCTCAAGGTGGGCAGTAGACAAAATAAGTTTGGGAACCCCTGCCCAAGACCAAGATGAGCCCGCGTGGTACGCCCTCCTCTTCAGACCAGTCTAGCTCCATTAGCCGGCCCATGGATTCCTCTTAGCTTCACCGTGTGACGAAATCGATCACGGCTACTGGAGCCCCCCCGCCACGACAAGGCGAGAACCCATTCTATGTTGACCAAACCTAAGCCGACGCGAGTGTGGGCAAATTGATTAGACGAGTTTTGTGGAGCTGCCCACACGTTGGCCACCGGCAGGTTTCAATGTGCACTGAAACAATATGGACGACACCGACGTAGAAGGTATTGCAACAGCTGCTGTTTATTTAATGAGCGCCTATAATTATGACGTTAGTGTATACCGCAATAACGTTGTAAAAAAGAAAAGACAAAAAACAAAAAAGAAGAAGTTGCAAATAACAGGTTCATTCTGATAGATCTTCAAAAATTAGACAATATCTTGATTTTTACTGAGCGCCATTTTGCACGTATTACCGCGACTCACGCCAACACCATTGGCCGAGCGCCTTTGATTTGTGTAGAAAAACCGACACCGACCGCTTCGAAGTGAGACAAGTGGTCGCGAGCGACGACGAGTCGTGACAAGCCACGCCAATTAAGCCCTATTACACGTTGACTCGGCGAGCGACACCGAACGAAGGCAAGGCAAATAGGCTGTCTACACGTTAGTATTGGCCTTCACTCGCCTAGGCTCGGCCAACATGTATTGCGAGCTTAAGAAAGCGAAACGTTTGCTTGTGTGCAAATTCACTCAAAGGCACTCGCGGGCACTCATAGGCACTCGATGGTACTCAAAGGCACTCAAAGGCACTCGCGCGCATCAAAGGCACTCGAAAACACTCGCTGGCATTCAATGGCACTCAAAGGCACTCGCGGGCACTCATATGCACTCAGAAGCACTCAAAGACACTCATAGGCACTCGATGGCACTCAAAGCCACTCGTGGGCACTCAAAGCCACTCGTGGGCACTCAAAGGCACTCACGGGCACTCATAGGCACTCGATGGTTCTCAAAAGCACTCAATGGCACTCGTGGGAACTCAAAGGCACTTAAAAGCACTCTCTGGCACTCGCGGGCACTAATAGGCACTCATAGACACTCGATTACGCTCAAAGCACTCAAAGGCACTCGTAGGCACTGAAATGCACTCAAAAGTACTTGCGGGTACTCATAGGCACTCAAAGGCACTCGATGGCACTCGCGGGCACTCGAAGACACTCAAAGGCACTCGCGGGCACTCAAAGACATGCAAAGGCACTCGCGGGCACTCAAAGGCACTCGCAGGCACTCAAAAGCACTCGCTGGCATTCAATAGCACTCAAAAGCACTCGCGGGCACTCAGAGGCACTCAAAAGCACTCGTGGGCACTCAAAGGTACTTAAAGGCACTCAAAGGGACTCGCTAGATATATATGTCTACCTATAACCTACGTATTGGCTTAGTACGAGTTAGTTTCGCTCGTGGGTAATAGATGGCGCTATTTTAATGAAAACCACAAGATGGACTGGATCTATAAACTGATGCGAAGCGCGCGGAGTGCAGACCTCATCTGAGGCGCGAAGTTGCTGACACAATTCTCCTAAGCGACTCTCTCCGTCTCTTTCGCACTCATGTAAATTAGTCGGTAGGTAGCGAATTTAGGCTTTGGCAAAATAGTGGCCAAGTGATTTTGAATTGAATTTCCTTTTTATTAGAATTAATTATTGTTTAAGTATTTCCAATTAGTCTGTACAGTTTTTTAAAATAAAATATTGGACAACCAAAAACCCTTATATTCTATATACGAAGCTGAACAACTGTACAATAACGGATTAACTTAGTAATTTGAAAAAAATCCATGCAAAATGTTAGACAGCTGTTTAATATTGTGTGAAGAGATTTTTTTAATAAACTACGCATTTAAAAAATTCACGCAAAAACACAGGTATTTACGGTACTTAAGCGTATTCTTTTTATCACTGTGTATAGAAAAAAAGGTATAACAAGCAATGTACTATACGCACATGCTACTAAATTGTATCAATGTTTAAAATTAAGCTTAGAAATATACTTTGTTTTACTATATAAATAATAAACCACGATTAAAAATATTTATCCACGTTTTTGGATAAATATCGAGTAAAAATGGATAAATATGGATATTTATCCATGACCCATCTCTAGTCGCGTACGACTGTCTTTTTTTTCTTTTTTTTTTCTATAGATCAGAATTCAATTGAATAATGAATTTTATTTTGTTATGAAAAATGACTTAATTGAACAAACGACGCGCAATGGCCATTATTATAATATAAAGCGCAAGTCATATTCAACTTCAACAACAACAAATTGTTCCTACGGCTAATTAGACTCTAAAAATTCAGTGGATATTTAAAATATTTATTTATTACACTATCAATTCAAAATTATTTTAATCACCACGAATACGATATCTTGACTAATCTCTCAACGAACGGAGCGGTGGCCTTTCGTAGATTAGATACACATTTTTCATTATACGTACGGTTTTGCTACGTAAATGTATTGTACAGGGTCAAGAGCACGCCAAACTTGACACAACATTATAACCCAACTCTATGCCGCTTACGATATATACGGTCCAAAGCTTAGAATAATAACGCATAGAAACCTAGTCCGCACACGCTAAGTGAGGCAAATTGAAGCGCGCCCAATGGACCTACACGAGCGGGCGGGCCTTCAGTGCTCAAGGTCAACTTGCACCGCGAACAGATCAAGAATTTTAGCTAAAAATGACGAAATGTGCGGTAAATGAGTGTAAAAATACGTCAGATAAACATAAAATAGATACTAACATCACATTCCACAAGGAAGTAACGCGTTTCAACTTGTATTTTTATATAAATATTCACTAAAACCGAAAATTAACCTACTACTAACACTAGCCTACATGAATTTGATTTTTGCCTCACATGTGACAGTTCGTTTGATATGAAACTATCGTTCTATGCGTTATTATTCTAAGGTCCAAAGTATAAAGTGTTAAGCTTGACGTGCTCTTGACTGTACGTATCAATGAAAATAATTGAATATCCAATACCTTCTAGACAAAGGAGCTACTATTCTAAAATCACTCACAAGGAGACGATAACGGCCGGATGGGTTCTGAAGCATAGCAGCTAGAGGTGGGCGTTTAAACGAAAAGCACTTAAAAAAGTCTGCTTTTTAAAACAAGCGCATAAGCACGCTTTTCATTTTAAGCGTAAGCGTTAGTCTATGCGGTTAAACGTTTTTCTAAAAGACTTTTTAGAAAAGGCTTTTACAAGCATGCTTTTTAAACGTACGTTTTAACGTTAAAAAAATAAGCAGTTTTTTCCATTTCAACGATTAACAACTACAAAAGTTAAACAACTTATGTTTTTGAACGCTTTTAAACGCCAATGAACAAAATGTTAATATAAAAATGTTATGTCATAAATAAAAATATAACTTGTTTTTTACAAAAAAAACTTACTTATCTTAAAACCTTTAGTGGTCTACTTTTGCTTTCGCAACGTTGCAAGCTTTTTTAACGTAAAAGTCTATGATAATTTTGTTAGCTTCAAACTAACAAGCGTTTAAGTGAAAAAGCGTTTAAAAAAGCACGCTTTTTCTAAAAAAGCATAACGTTTAAACGTTTAAAAAAATAAGCAGTTTTTCCCATCTCTAATAGCAGCGGTAACTAAGCGTTTATAACTTACACTGGGCACGCGAAGTAGGTACAGGGTCAAGAGCACGTCAAGCTTGACACTTAAGACTTAAATCCAACTCTATGCCGCTTACGATAAGAACGGTCCAAAGTACAAAGTGTCAAGCTTGACGTGCTCTTGACTGTACACTTGCGGCGTCTATTTAGATATTATGTCTGTGGTATTCCCTACCCAAGGTAGTTAAAAAAGAAATATTGTAATGGAGAACTAAGCGAACTGCGACTGTCTAAAAAATAACGGTGTGTTCTAGGCCACTTTGACTATAAACCCTACATTTTGGGACCAAACTGGTCATCCTCAATCCATCCATCAACAGTGGTGCACATTATTATACCACCTAAAACATCTGGCTACAACCCAAGGATCTAGAACACACTAAAAGCCTTTGGTAATTCCCCCAGTGCCAAGCAAAGAAAAGAAGCTCTGGCACAAGGCTGAAACGGTCTCGAAATGCTGATTGGCATGCATATGCCATTATCACAAGAGTTTAAGCTAATAGGAGCTAGGAAAATCTTTTAATTCTTTTATTCTCTTGACTCAGACTTAATGGGCGGTGATCGCCATAGTTAAATTATTGGTCGCAGTGGTGAAGCACTGCACACTGTAAAGATCTTGAATAAGCCATTAATATATTAATATAACAATAATTTCGATAGTTTTGTGTAGTGAAAGATCATTTGTAAGTGATATTCAGTCTTTGTTTCTCCATCTTTTGTGGAGAAAATAGATTTCCAGAAGTTATTTGACAGAACGTATACATATAGTGAAGAACACAGAAAAATCAGTCGCAAATACCCAATATATTTAGAGCACAAAATTTTTAATGCTTACCAAAATGTCCTAGAAAAGTATGTAATAAAAAAGCGGTAGGTACATAGCGCTATCAGTTTATTGACTGCAAATCCATTTTGACATTGTATTTTATTGGTGTCAATATACCTTCAGAACTTAATGTTAAAGTTTTAAGGCGATATGTTTTTCTAGGTGCAGTTTTCATCTGGCGTAGTGTATAACTAACAACTTCAATGAGTGGGTCTCTGAGCCAGTTGTAGTTACGTCTTTGGTACCTTCTGATTAGTCTGTAAGCAACACCTCTCAAAAATGCAGAAGTAAAGCCGTCAGGAAATTTTTTTGCAACATCTTTCCATCTTATGTCAGTCCACACTTGGTATAGTGGAGCGGATTCTAATCTGGAAAAAACAGTCTTGAAAAATTTTTAAACAACTTGAACTGACTGTACATGACAGTACGTATAGAACAACATTCTTACATTTTCATCAATTTTTTCCCAAGCCTTGTAAACTTGACATCATATTCTACAAACAGAAGCACATGAAGTTGCCGATACCAAAACTTCTTTAGTTTGTCATATGGTTGTCTCATATATACTTGTAATTTATGCCACACAGATAAGTCAAATGTTCTATTTTTCAATTCATTAAATGAATATCCTGAATATTTAATCAACTTTTGCAAAAACTTTGTTGCAAGTTCCAGTTTCCATTTTATTTTCTTTGTGGATTCCGGCTTTCCTATAATAAAATTATTTTTACAAACAAGTCTCATTCAATAGAATATGAATTGTCTAGCATTAACTTACCATTGCGCATATGGCGTAATCTGTTATAGATATTCCTAGGTTCTCTGCTAAGTATAGCAGACAAATAAACCACAGCTTTTTTAGGGCAATGGTGGAAACATATTTCCATAATTTTTTCTTCCTGTTCAGAGTAAGGTCCTTTTACAGGGCCCCCATATTCAGTGAGAAAGTGCCTGTATACTTGATAAAGATTTCGTTCCAATCCCTTAGCCAGGTATGATATAACAAAATGCCGTGCTCTTTCTTGAGGAACTGTAGGATGCTTGCCTTCTTTGTTTCTCCATCTTGCTATACATATGGGTTTGTCTGGTAATCGGAACTTCTGGATAAATTTAATACAAAAAATATATATTCAATTAAATTTTAAAATTTGCCCAAATATTTATTTATGTTCAGGTTACGAAAAGACCCATAAATAGACATGGGCAAAACTGCTTATTTTTTAAATGCTGAGCTCTGTGAAAGCTTTTCTCTTAAACGCTTTTTAGCTTGAAACTTACGAAATCATTTAGAAAAATGTTTAGGCGCATAGACTTTTATGCTATAAAAAGCTTGCAACATTGTGATGATATCAAAAAGCAACAGTAGGCAGACGACAGGTTTTAAGACAAGAAAGATTATCTGTAAAACATGAGTTTATAATTAATTTTCACGTTGATTAATTAATTTGTTTAGGAAACATGGATGGCGGAACTTGAAACATAAGCGCGTTGTAAAAAATCAAATTGTTAAGTATTGAACTGACCAATGCTTATGCTTAAATTGAAATGCATGCTTATGAGCTTATTTTAAAAAGCCAACTATTTAAGTGCTTTTTGTTTAAATGCTCACCTCTACCATAAATATGTACGTTATGGCCTAACATTCATAATAATATATTAAAACAACACTATTAATTTATTTGCACATAACGACTGACACATGTGACACAACATAATGTTAAATAATATGTATAATGACTTCAGAAAAGCAAATAGCTGTACAATTAAGTAATTAAACGATTATATTTATTTTCCCAGGGAAAGATCATGCATACTTATGTTTTGTAGAAAGGGCAAAAGCCCCTTTTCGAAAAATTCTTCAGCTGAGCATGTTTTACAATACTTATACCCTGTTTTAAAATTCTGTTTTTGTTTTAATTAAGCTTAAGTTTAAAATTGATTATAAATAGGACGTAAAAAATTGTAAAACAGTCGCGAAAAACCAGAACGTGCTTTGTTTTTCGAAATGGCGCTTTCGCTCGCTTGCGCCGACAAAACACCGGCCAAATAAAGTATACTATACTAACCTTCCTAAATCTGTTCCAATTTTTCTGCACTATCGTACTTTCTTCTCGTGTGAACGAATCTGTGCGATAGGTCTCGCTTTCACTTTTCACATCCTCATTTGTTTCTTTAATTGGTCTCGTGACGGAGTTAATCTTTTGATACCATGGTTGCTCCCAAGTTATCACCATGTCATCTAATTTCTCCAGCAATAACTGTATGAAACAGCAATAGGTTGAGTGATAAAAAGTAACATAATTGCTTGGCAAGAGAACATATTTTTAAATTAAGTGGACACAAAAACCGTACTTCCATGAAATCTTCGTTCTCTTGATTAATTTCTTCCAATCGAACAAGAAGCATGTCCATTGCTGATGGTTCAGTAATATCATAATCGTCAATGTTCTCCATTATCAGGCTATTTAAATTCATTTTTTTCAATAAACGTACGTATTATCACAAGTTAGACAAATTCAAATTTGTTTTATAAAGTCTAACCTAACTTTTTTATTTTTTTTAATCGCACTCACGGGCAGGTACGAACAGCCATTTGATACTTTGAGTTTTTTTTTATTTATCAAGATTTTTGAGAATCAGCCACTATCCAAATATTTAATTGTAAATAGTTTTTTTCCCACGATTAATTAATGATTAATGGATGTTAACACGCGTTAAAACCCGGGTGCTTGCCCATTTCTGGATATCATATTTTTGAGAAACGAGAAGCATGCTAGTCTAAGGCCTCCATCTATATCTACTGTTGGGTAATTTTCCGAAAAATTCGCTTAATGGAAATTTTTACGAAAAATTTCCGAAAAATTGGAAAAGTATAATTCGATCGAAGACTCGCATTATATTCTACTCAGTTCTAATTAGAAATATCTTTTGAAGTTTTATTTAGCGTCAATTAAAAAATAAACTTGTTTATCTAAGAGCTACATAAAGAAAAACGAGATTTAAATTCTTTCACGACAGCGAAAAAACCTTTTCATCTCACAAGCTAGGAAAGGCTTTCTTTTTCATTTAAAAATCTACGCGCAATAGTTATTTTTGATACAAGTGCGGAAAGTTAGTCATTACTCACGAGTTACGAGGCTTCTTCGGGACAAGTGAAAATGACAAATCCGCAGATATATTAAACAACGTTTTTTAATATATTTGCGAAAACAATACATTGAAAATAAAATAAAACAGTATATTTTAGTGGCGCGGCGCGCAGCGGTGTCGCGTAATACTCACCTCCGGTCATTGCTGATACTCAATCAGCCATCTTTATGGACAATATTTTCTCGATTATAGGTTCTCAATTCGACTGTATGTTCTTTTTTTTTGTATGTATGTTACGCGATAACTCCGGTATTTGTGAACCGATTTTCATCATTCTTTTTTGTTGGAAAGGGGGTACTTCCATAATGGTCCCATTTCATTTCGAAGACAATCACCCACCTCGAAGGGTGGCTGTTCACGCATGAAGATTCATTTTTATAAATAGCGTCGCGTCTAACTTTAATTTAGGAGCAATTACTTTAATGGTTGATTTTGCTATTTCTCCAATTCAAGGCGTTTTTCTCTCAATATACTTTGAGTAGCGTCGTAGTGAGAACCTATTTTTATTATCTCCAGTGTCAATTCCTGTATAGTGGCGAACTAGGGGTTATTTCAATAAAACTTAGCAAATAGACGTAATTCCACGTACTTTTGAGGTCGGTTTTTTTAGTACTCTGTACTGAGATTATAGTATTTTTAAATGTAATCCGTTGTTGTATAAAACACCTATGCAATTTATACAATTATGATGTTTGGTAAATATAAGTTTTATTGACGAATGACTTACGTCACAAAGCCCATAAATAGGTATTAAATAAATATAAGCTCTTTATTTCTATGTTTAAGACTTGAAACAACAGTAAATTAAACGATATATAGTTAAAATATAATATCGGATATATATATATATATATATATACATATATGTGTGTGTGTACATATATAAAAGATTTTCACGTCAGCAAAAGTGATAAAAGTTATCGACAACCTCTCCAACTATTAACTGACATGGTCCACATACGGTATGGATTAAGTCTAATATAGTCACGCTTCTATGTGCCCATCGAGTATATGTGCCTGATCACGAGGAAAGGATTTCCTCTTTTCTTTTCCTTCAATGCATAGAACACATGGAGTGAAATCTCCGTTTGAAAAATCAATACCGCGAGCTAAATGATCACGAAGAGTTAACATACCGCTTAAACTTAAATGTCCAAGGATCGAGAAGCAATCCTTCCTATTAGTCATACGACTAGAACAACCTGAATCTATAATCCAACTTTATTGATCACAGTTACTTGGTTTTAAAGTAGTCTTAGTAGATAATAATAATATACAGTAATTGGAACTTCCTTTATTTGAAGACGAAGCCTCAGGTTTCTTTGAGTTTTTCTTTTTCAACTTGGTACTATTGGGTTTAATGCTTAGAGGATGGAAAAAAATAAAGGAAGTTTAATGTGGCTTTCTGAAGACAATTGTTACAGATCGGTTCGAATTTGTTTTCTGTCAGTAAAATTTTGTCATTGTGTTCCAAACTTGAATTTGAAGAATTTCTCTTGAATTCATTTTGAATAGGCTGGCATTTAACAAAATCTTAATCTAGTTTCGATATCTTAGTGATAGGTCAATGCTTTCAAGGCCATTATTAAAAAATCGAATTCAGCGGGTAATCCAATCAGCATCAATTCGGCTAATTCTTCGTCATCGACGTTGCAGTCAATACGCTACATTTGTCGTACATACATGTATAAAACAATGTAATTTATGGTCAGAAGAATAGTAATTTCTTTCATGAAATATAAAAAGAAACAATATTAATACAAGAACTGAAAATAAACCCTAAATTGGCTATTCTTGACTCCCATTTTAGGAGCGATGTACGTACATGCTTCGAAATGAGTCTAGTTCATTTCAAAAATTTTGCCATTTTCATACAGGTTCTGCGTACTTGGATGACAGAAATCCATGGCAGTGATCGTTGATCTTTTGGTTTGTTTTGTGATATTTTAAATGATTGGTCTGGTCTGAATGCACTGTTTTGATTTTGGCTAGTTGTCACTTCCACCGTGTATTAATAGTTTATGATTCAGTTAACTGTACCAATCTGACGAAATAACAATCTGACCATATAGAAGTCTGTCTTAGTAAAAATCTGATGAAATGAAAATCTGACTTAGAAGTAAAAAAGGCCTTAGTGGTGTTTAATCATAAAGATAAATTTGTTTTACAAGCAAATAAAACTATACTTATACTCGTAAAAAAATAGACCGAGTTGAACGCATTGCTTATGCTAGTAAAATCATAATTAATAATTCTTTTTGTTGGACTTCACTGTTGTCGAGTATGAACCATTACCTAGTTAAAATTTTATAGCTGCTTCATTTGATTTGTTTTTGTATGCTCTGGACAATATTCAGCAGCATAACCAAACCTTTTAATATGAAAAGCAAAATGGGTTTGTATAAAAATGGTTTATTACCTTAACAAATTACAGGCTGTTGTGGTACTATCAAATATAATATGAAATATTATCAAAATATTGATTTCGTAACAGGCATCAAAAATAGTTATGAAATACATACACTTAATTGCTATAAACAATGTATATAATGTTTTGTCAGTATACTTAACTAAATACCTAATCTTATTCTTGAAATCCATAGCTATGCTTACTTGATTAAAATATCTAATTTATATAAATTATCATCAGAATCAGGAATACAATCATTTTTGTGTGGAAGTTCACATGTTAAATCCTTGACAAGACAACTTCTAAGAAATTTGTAGTCCGCTTGCAGATCTTGCCGCACCAAGAACTCAGTGAACCAATAAAGAGTTATGAGTGAATCAAATGTACAAGCTGCATCACCAAATTCTTTGATAGATTTCAGACAAACTAAATCCTTATTATTCAGAACACCTTTTTTGAGCAAAATTTTTTCACCTCTTCCTAAATGTTCAAGTTTACTTTTCAGTACATCTTCAATAATGTTGTCTTCTTGACATGAGATGCTTGTTCTTGCTTTATTTAAATTACGGTTTGTGATCCAAGGAAATGTGATTATTTCAAATCTGTTGTCATCTTTGTACGCAGGAATATCAGCAATTTCCTTATAGTCACCTTAAAATTATATCAATAAGTATTATTTCATATATTAAGGTACACGGTCAAGAGCACATTGAGCTTGGGTTTAAATTCAAACTATGCTGCTTGTGATGGGAACAGTTGAAACTGTTAAGTTTGTTGTGCTTTTTATTTAAATTAATGTGCTAGTTTAAAGTACAGATGGCAGCACATTAAGCTACTCTTTGACGGATCTTGTTCTGTTGTGCAGGAGGCTATATTTGAACAAAACTGAAAAGCTTGATGTGCTATTGACTGTACCTATGTACCTAGTTCCTTTATTGTATTACTTGCCACTTCTGATATTACATTTGTAAAAGTTAAAGAAGTATGCACTGCAAAACTGCAAAAGCTTTACTGCAATTTAATTGATGTCCCTAATTAAAAGACATGGTAGATCTATCTAAATAGAGCCACACCTAAAGATACAATGCATACAATTGTTGAAACTTTTACCTCAAGTCATTCACATTAAATGTATTCTAGATCTAAGGAAACCATGTAGAAATGCAATAAATAAATATGAAATATGAAATATGTCTTAAAATTTTGCTGACTGTACTCTACTCTATACAAAAGTATGTGTTTAGCTCGACTGTGATAATGCTTACCGTACTTAAGTTGAGTACAAAGTCTACATCATGTTAACATTCCATTATTAATAGGTATTGCATTATATACCTGCGCGATTTAATTTTATTAACGAATTATAGGTAATTAAATAATAAATAGGTAGGTACTTACTTGGCAAATCATCATCACTTTCCAATAATTGTTCTATATCGTTAAAAGCGGAACTTTGTTTTGATTTCTTCATTGTAGGGGAAGCCCCGTCGTATTTTATAATCAAACTACGTACACACTCTTGTTCAGTCTAAAATGAGAAAATTATATACCGAGGGCTTATGAAATCAGCTATTTCATAAATCTATTGTTTCCAACATAAAATCAGTTTGCTTCACACGTGAACATTAAAGAGTACTGAAATAAGTATCACTATAGCGTAAAAAGTAAAAACTGATTTATTTTATTATCACCACCACCAGTGTTGCCATTTTTCTTTTTCGAGTTGAAAATTACGTTTCGTATCGTTATAACATTGCTGCAAATGTTACATTTTCATCCAACTAAAGCGAAACGTATTTATGTTATTTTAATTGCCTAAGAGCAGTCACACACGATGGCTTTTGAAATGCGCGATTTCATCGCGACGCATCACTTTTGGTTTATAGGCGGTTTGGTGCTACTGCATTGATGCAACGCTTAAGTTGAATCATTAAAAATGTGCATCGCCTTTGCTTCGGCATTGTATCGCTGCTTGAGCCGCGCGTGTGTAAAGGTAAACAATGAGTGACTGCATTGCTACTACATCGCGACTGAATCGCTGCAGACGCGCTACTGGAAGTTGCCGAGTGTACCCGCTCTTGAAGGTTTTAAAATTTGTAGAGGGATCATAGATACTAACGTTTTGAATTTCGATTTCTCGTCATTGACCTATTGACAAAAATGCAAAAATCAAATCTTAAAAAGTTCACATCAAACAAAACCCGCGTAAAAAATCTTTAACAGCAAGATATAGTATGCTCCACAAGTTAAAAACATGTACGCTCATTCGACATCAAACATCGAACATTTAATTTTAATGTTGTAGATTCTCTTCTCAGTGAAGTTTGCAGTCACGTATCTTTCTAATTTGTGGCTGTGTGTATCACCAAAAACTATTAAGAGATACTACGTATTGTATAGCAATAATATAATAGCAGTCTTTGTATCGCTGATAGATAAGAGTGGTTACAGACGGCGACTTTTAGCAGCAATGTAAACGCGATGCAGTCGCGAAAAGTCTACATTTACACACGCGCGCGATTTTAAGCAGCGATGCAAACGATATACAAACACAATACACGTTTTAAATTAATTAACTAATTTATTTATTTAATGTATTTATTAATTTCACTTTGAAATTAACAAAACAAAATATTGTGCATGAATTTATACAGACTTTTCGTAAATAATTATTCAACATAAGCGACCGATGCAATCGCGCTTATATCGATATCTATGCAATCGCGCGTTTGTATCGACTACCATGCCTTCTGTCTTCTAATTTGTGGTCTAGGCAACATTCGTCAGTGGCGCGAGATTTTATTTTATTTATTTTTTTTATTTTATTTTATTCAGGAAAACAAACGGTCACATACAAGATTTACATAATATAAAACGATAAACTACAAAAAGACCAAGCTGCTCCATAAATTTAACACAAATATAAATTTAGAATGGAATAGAATATGTACACTGCAATGGTAACTTAACAAAAAAATACATATAAATATTAGAAAGGTAAATACTAGATAGGGAGAATGGTACTTCGAGCGCAAGTAATGCCAAAGAAGTATGTTTCAAGTTTAGGGTAATCTGTGAAAAATAATATCGCCCACTTTTTGTCTATAACTAACTAAAGATGTACAAAAAAGTCGACATCTTTCAACTTATCGTTATAAAACTTACAAGAACGTCTAATAAAAGTGTTTTTGGCGTAATTTGCAGAACTAGGATTGCAATAAAAGGTTTCTTTGTAACGCGAGGAGATTCTTGGGACACTAAAGTTAATTAGTTGTAATAAAGAAGATGAGTCAATGTTACCATTAATTATTTTATATAGAAAAACTTCATCCAAAAAGACACGTCTGCTGACTAGTGAATCAATATTGTATCTTTTGGCAGATGTTTGGTAGTCAATAAAACAGTTTCCGGTACGGTAGTCTAATGATTTCAGAAATTTGTTCTGAAGCTTTTCAATGCGAGCAATATGAACTGCATATTGGGGACACCATACAACGCATGCGAATTCTAATAGAGATCGAACGAAAGCATAATATAAAATTTTGTATGTAAATACATTACTAAATGGTCTAGTGAGACGTAAATCTGCTTATAAGCTCTGGAAATTATATTATCTATATGACTTCTAAAATGCAGCTTGGCATCTAGTATCACCCCGAGATCTCTAATTTCATGAACACGCTTGATTTTATTATCAGAAAGAACGTAGTCATAGTTTATAGAGTTATGTTTACGAGTAAAGGATATAACAAAACACTTATCAGAATTTAAAAACAGTTTATCCTTTTCACAATAATTTACAAATCTTTGCAAGTCTGATTGCAACTTTAGGCAATCCTCAGGGGTAGAAATAACTTTAAAGACCTTCGTGTCATCTGCATAAAGCAGATGATGTGAGTCATGAAAACAAGAACCAACGTCATTAATGTATATTGTGAAAAGGAATGGACCTAAGTGGGAGCCCTGCGGGATGCCCGAAGAAATTTCAAGGAATCTAGAAGTATAGCCCTTCAAAGCCACAGCTTGACTTCGATTAGAGATATAAGAACATAGCCATCTAAGTAGGTCTCCGTGTATACCGAACTCTGATAATTTACCCAAAAGCGTAGAATGACAAATTTTGTCGAAGGCTTTGGAAAAATCGGTATAAATTACGAGATTAGGCGATTTTTCACCATTTTGTTTACTTCGAGGGTTGTGCGGCGATTAAAAAGTGATCGGCGCCGCGACTCGGCGATATTTAGGATGTGAATTAACTTGAAACTTCACAAAAGTCTGGCAACACTGACACTGGTAATGTAATGTTAACTTTGACTTTGTTCGATTTGACAGGTAGGAATAATTAATTTTTACGACTGTCTTTTTGCAATACCGTTATCAACCTTTAATTATATTTCTAGGTTTGTGGTCTGTGCCTTGGCCTCTTCCAATTTCCAAAGTATTTTAAGGCATTTCCAAAGGATACATTTTGTATTATATCAACTCAAATGTTGGGTTTGAAGCACTAATCTATATAACATTTTAATACAATTAGTTTGTGTCGATAAGATTAAATTAAAAAATAAGATAATAATATTATTATCGTAAACCTTGTGTGTTCGTTGAAGTTAGTTCATAATGATGCAGAGTACTTACAAAATTTTAAACAACGTTCAAACCCAATTGTTTACATGGGGTCATCCGTTTGATTGCAATGGATCAGATGTCATAATTTGTATCACTGGGAATCCGGGCTTTCCAGATTTTTATATAGAGTTTGGCAAGGAACTACATAAATCCACAAACCTTCCTGTGTGTATTGTTGGTAAGCATATTGTAATTACAAAAAATCACAAGCACATCAAGCAAATCATATACCCTTTTGTTGAATATCGCCTCCAGTGCAATGCAAACGGAACAAAATCCATCAATGTGTAGCTTGATGTGCTGTGTGTATTATTAGCTTAGAGGCATAGTCTAAGATTATTAACCACAATCAAGTAGAAAAAGTTGCCTACATGTCAGAGAAAGTTCGTAAAGATCTCTGTTTAAATGTGTGTGTGAAGTTCTCAATTTATTTTGGCTCAGTATAGTAGACCCAGACACACTATTTTTTCTCAGAGGAGACTTATATCTTGTCATAGGCGACATAAGATCGTCTTTATCGCAATGTTACTCATAAAGACACACTATGGGTTTAATAAGGTTACATTTGCAAAATTACAACTTTCCAGGGGGTCTACTGCTATTCTCCATTCAACATCCATCAGAAATAATTACTGTCAAATAAGTAATACTCAACCAAAATAAAAGATGCATCATGCAAGTGAAGCTTCGTATTGACATTGTCTTTTGAATTGGTCAAATTTGACAGTAATTTTTATTGTAATACCAAGTGATGGGACAGATGTTTAAATATTATACACAAATTTAAAGATTCAACAAATGAAATTAGTCAATCTATCTTAAATAGGAGAGTTAATATAAAATTTTGATATATACATACTATTATGTTCTGTGGAGTACAATTATTATTACTTTAAGTTCCATGTGATAAAAGCCCTTTTGATGTATGATCACATGTGGCTTTATTATACCAAGGGTACAAAGATTATATTGTCCATAATATTTGAGTATTTGCCCTTATAATTTTACCTGTGTAATAGTCTCTGTAGTAAACCTACTTGGGGGTAATTTTTTTATCCTAATGTTATTATTATTCAGGGCATCAGGGCTTTTGAATACTCAACAGCCGTACTGTGTCAGGAGAGGTGTGTGCTCTCTTTCAGCAGTGTAAGCTTAGCCAGAGTGTATGCTATGCCTATAAATTGTTGGGTCCAATAAAAGATCCATAAGTTGTTAAATATTTAAATAAAATAAATTAAATATATGCAATAGAGAGAGAGAGAAATAGAATTACCTACTAGATACTTTAGAAACTGATATTGATTTAGCTAAAATAAGCAATTTCAGTTTGTCACACCGAAGTTTAACATGCGTGTGCCTGGTTTTTATTGAAAATAGATAATTAAGTTATAGTCAGTAACCATTTTTCATCTGGTAAATGGTCTGACCAGATTTTATTCCATAAAAACAAATGTTGTTTTCCAGGTCAAGCAGGACACGTAGAGGTCCCAGATAGCGAGTCCAATAACCTTGATGGAAATAAAGAGCTATTTAATCTCCAAGGTCAACTGGCACACAAACTTGACCTTATGATCAACTATGTTGATAAGAAGAGCAAAATACACTTGGTTGGGCATTCTATAGGAGCCTGGCTCATTCTAGAATTATTAAACATCAATGAATCTATCTCTAAGAAAGTTTCTTCAATAAATTTATTGTTCCCTACTTTACAAAAAATGGCTGAAAGTAGAAATGGTAAATTTTTGAACAAAGTTCTGCGGAGAATTAATATTTTTTTAGTAATGATGTTCAGCCTAGTTTCATTATTACCTCTGTGGCTTCGTTTGTATGTAATCGGATTATATTTAAAGTTTAATTCTCTGCCACCTCATTATGCTGATAGGATATTGAAATATTTGAATCCTAAAGTAGGGGAGAAAGTGTTATTTTTGGCTTATGATGAAATGGACACAGTTACTGTGCTTAACACAGTAGCATTGGATAAAGTAAAGAATTTAACTAATGTAATCTACAGCAACAAAGATGGGTGGGCACCAGTTCATTACATGGATGACCTGAGAATTTTCCAGCCCCATCTACAAATGAAAGAAGTAGACATTGAACATGCTTTTGTTTTAAAATCTTCTGAACAAGTTGCTGAAATGGTGTCAAACTTCATAAAAGTAAAACAAAATTGATTAGACCAGGTTTTTTGGTTTCCTACTTGAGATAGAATGCCGCTTCATCAAACATTAATTGCTCGAAAACGGCTCGACTGTCCATTTGACCAAAGAATCGTGAGCTTTAAGGTTTGCCACATCGATGCATCGAAATCTCGAAAGAACATCCTCTAATCATCATCCTCATTTCTCGAAAATTTTAGTTACCTATATTTTATGTCGTATTTTCATTGACTTACAAATAAATGTAAGTCAATGCGTATTTTGTATTTTTATCTCATTTCAAGGTGTGAACAAGAGGCTGTCTCCTTTTTCGAGAAATCACTTTGTTGGCTGTTGATCGTTAGAGCAAATGTTCTTTCGAGATTTCCATGCGGCAAACCTTAGAGCTCACGATTTATGGGTCAAATGGACAATCGCCAAAGTTTTCGAGCAATTAACTTCGATCAAACGGCATTCTATCTTAAGTAGGAAACCCGGTTTTTTGTGCTAAGTATAAAAAAATATGTAAATATTTACTCCTGTGAGAGGCCCTGTACCGAAAAGTAGGATAAAGTTGTAAATATTAATAAAACTATTTGGTGCTGATTCCTACGAAAATGTTGGGTTTGGCAGAAGAATCACGAAAGTAAAATTAATGCAGTAGAAATGAGAGCTTTGAGAAGTACGGCTGGAGAGATTCTGATGGATAAATTACGGAACAATGTGATAAGAGAGCGTTGCGGAGTGGAAGATGTCTAGTGATAAAGATAGGGATGCTTAGATAGTTCGGGTTTGTGAAGAGAAGAATGAAAGAAGTTTGACAAAACACATTTACGATGCGAGCGTGACCGGGCAAGTTAGTAAGGACCAACTAGGGCGAACTTACTGTAACCAAACTGAGGCAGTTCTAAAGGGCCAGGTCAAGAGTACCCTTGACCTACGAGCGGATATGAAAGCACTGATGCATGTTGATAAGGCAAAGGATATGTGTCAGGACCGTAGCAAGTGGAAGACTGTTGTCTCTACCTACCCCGATGGTACAATGGCATGAAGTTTAAGTATCAACCAATAACCGGCCGTCAGTATTGCTTTCTGTTTAATTGAACAGCACGAAAAGAGTAGTAATCCCGTGAAACTTTGATTTTGTGGCTGTTACAGTAGTATTTACATAGCTGTCTATTTATATAACTACATACATACTACATAACGGTATTTACATAATCTCGTAAATCTCACACATAAACACAAATAACACATTTCTAGGTTCTTTGTCATCAATAATATATTTAAAAAAATTGTTCTATATTACAAGCAAAATGCTCTTTGAAAATTTGACCTAGTGTCCACCATTTTCATTAAATTGTTGTGATGTGCATTGTAATATGATAAATTATAAACTATGTTGCATTTAAACAGGGTTATTTGTAAAATACTAACTTCTCAGGCCTATGTTACCAATGTCATAAACCACAATTTTTGGTCCATGACTTAATAATTCATCCGATTTTGCTTTCATACAAAAATAAACATAGCTCGCTCTAAACGGTGCGGGGGTGGAACTCCTCGCGCAGGACGCTTGCTTGTTTGAACTTATACCAAATACAGATCTAAAGTGTCAGATAGTACAATATGTTTTGTAAGTCATGGAACAAAAGTTGTTGTTTATGATAGTGATGTTCTGCGCCGTTGTTAACATTTTACAAATAACCCTGTATATCAGTGCCTATTGTTATTGAGTATAGTAATAAAGGTAGAAATGTTATTTAATATTATTTTTGTAAATCACGAATGGGTAAAAATGGTAATAAAAGCAAAATATAAGATATGTGCACTTTAATTTATTAAAAATTACCTGTTATGTTACAAGTTACAATTTAAAGTAGAGATAATATACTTCTAGTTCTAATGAAAATAATTCATGTAACACAAATAAGAAAGTCCATCTTGCATACAAATTTTTGAAATAAGTACATTTGAAAATCACAAAATGAGTATCTGTTGTAAGAAATGGCACTGCAGTGGTTTAATGAGTGGGAGTCCCTCCATACAGTGTGGCTGCACAAATTAATTATGACCAATATAGTAAAATAAGGGAATTATAGACAATGAAAATTTACAATGGAATTTGGTACTATATGTTTCTAATTAAAATAAAGGATACTAATTCACGTAGCCGTTTGGCATGTACAATGTACATGATGCAACTCCCTGTATTATATTATTACACACATTTGCAAGTACTTAAAATGAATTGATTATACACTAAGGATTTACATCTATTACATTTTTCATTTTCACTTTCATATTGTAATGGTTCATGAGGACTTAAAAATGCGATAGGTAACGGTGGAGTCAAATCTCTGAGAAATAATTACTCTTAAATGATGAGCTTGTTGAATCGTTGTATCCCTGTTTACTAAACTATAGAATTGCTATTAAACCGGTTTAATATATTTACTTATAAAATAGAAGATTGAGATATGACTCCACTATTTTCACTTAACAAACATGTACCTGTACACCTATCTTAAAATTATATGTGTGCTTTTCATAGCTACACGCCAATTAATGATAATCAAATTATGAAATTAAGGTATACAATGGCGTCATTTGACGCGAAAGGTGCAGTTGGCGTGATGTAACAGAAAAAAAAACTACATCCATTGGTATATTAAGTCGAATTCTTATAATCTTGCCAATATAGTAAGTACCATTATGATTCACTGTCGTGGCATCCTTGTGAGGATGAGAGAGGATGAAATGAATTATTACATTGTGCACACAAGTTTTATACAGCTATCTATCGGCAACAAGATTTTGATTTCGTCATTGGAATATAATTGCACCTTTGAAATTTTGCTAGTGTAATGAAATGCAACCTCTATCAATTTAAGTTCAGTCTTATCCCAAATCATTGATGATAAAGAACTTCACAGATATTTAAGGTAGTTGGAAGCCCATAGTAGTTTAAAATAAAAAATAGATTGAAACACGATTAAAATATAGTAGGCGCTTTCTTTGCCCTATTACAAACTTTTATTTTGAAATATCTGTCAAACCAAGCTCTTTATCATTAAAACAATTTCATCTGTTCTTCACTTCCACAAACTAAGATCATAAAACGTTTTTTGTCTACGTTATTAAGTATACAAACACAAAATAATTTGTAGGCTAGATTTAGAATGCACAAAATGATAGCATTTCAAATATATTGGTCCAGAAAGAATCTTGCCAACTAATGAATGTACAATATGTTTAGAAATTTGTTTATCTCCTATTCACATTTAATGGATTTAATTTTCAATAACATTATGTAACGCGAATTCCATTGAGTAACTATGTCTACCTGTACATATATCTGAAATAGCAAGTACATAAAAAGAAAAATACAAAATTCTAATTGTGCGCTTCGCTTCATTAGATAGTTACTGATGTAAAATTAATATAGGAACTAGATATATTATTACATGATAAAGACCCATTATATTATAAACAACATTGTAGTACATTTCAGCCTGCAGCGCGCTCCTGAACTAGTAAACTCAAAGTAGGGTAGCAGCGCGCGTACGTACGAATGCCGATTCGTATTTATGCACAACCTCGCGAAGTAAAACGTAATTTAAATTATGAATACAAAACATCCATATTTATCATATACCGTAACATACAAACACATCTTCCTCTCAATAATGAATATGATACAATTATAATTTTGAAATCTTACTACTAAAAGGGGATACAAAAATTCGTACTAATAATACTCATACATCGAAATGAGACGACACACATACCGTACACAGCACGAAAGTCTCCTCTCCACTGGCTATTAACCGGTGGATGCAGTTCTAAGAGCTATTCTGAATGCGACAACGATAAGCCAGCGAGTGTTGTACACGATTCAAGCAATAATTTAACAAGTGGTCTCTAGAAGGGGATCTGCCGTTTTCGTCACGCACTCAGTTTCTATCGTCATACATATCATTTTTTGCGAAGCAGACTTATAAAGGCGACGCGGGTGGCCCTCGTCGTCGGAGAGAGCGCGCACCGGCTGGCGTGGGGCTAGACGCGATGGCGATGGCCGCGGTGAGCGCGGCTCGCACGTGCAACGCGTGTTCGCGCCGGTCGTCCCGACTGCCGCCGGCGCGCCCAACGACCGCTGTGCACGCGGCGTTCTCGGGCAACCGGGACTACGCGGACGCCAGCACTCGCAACTTTCGTTCCCACAAGTTTCACAAACCACGGCCGGCTTTCTCTCCAGTTTCCCCCGCCTAAATGTTCCGTCGCGCTTACTTTCCACGTCAGATTCCGGTCGAATAGTATCGTCTTTTGGCGCAATCCGATCGTGGCCGAAATCGGCAGCGGGACGAAGCGCTGGTTTCTTCACCCAAGGGTCGAAGGTGCGAGTGGCATCCAATGACGCCTGTCCGGCTTTGGGTCGCGGCCGGGTTGCAGCGCTACCCAGGTCGAGGTCGTTCATCTTGCGCCAAGGGTCCCCAAGCACGGAGACAGTGTGCGTACGATGGCGCAGGCGGGGGGTGCTGGGGCCTGTGGCCGGCGCGGCGAGGTTGAGGCGCTCGCGCGAGGCGGCGGGCGACGTGCGGGCGCTGACCACCGCGCGCTCGGGGCGCGGCGCTAGCGTATGGCTGGGCGATGGCGACGGTGAGGGCGAGGCGCACGGCCTTTCGGAGTGCGAACGCGCGCGCGGCGTGGCGGCGCGACTGGCCGGCGTCACGTCGCTTAGTGATCGCAGGTGAATGCGGCGCCGCACTCCGTGTGGCGAGTCCGCGTCTGTCACGTTTATGCTGATGTTGTGGGAAATCGCAATGGGGTTGTTGGGCTCCCCGGAGCGATCCTCTGTATTGTCGGAAGTTTTGGTTTTGTCTCTATGAATATGGGGGCTGGTAGCGCTATTCGCGTTAGCCGAATTTTTGTTGGGGCCGGCCCGACTGGGCCCGGCCCCCGCTAGCTAGAGGAGTCTCTCTGTCGCTGAACTGGAAGTGCCGGAGCTCAATGTCGATACTGGATTTTGGTCGTCTCCTGTAAATGGATGGATTTATCAGAAATTCCAGTTAAGAATTATTACACAGATTATGAGTCTCACATATTGTTAGTAAGAAAAATATACCTTGAGTTGTCTGGCCTGTGGCCGGCAGTCTTTGTCAGTTGAGCAATTCCACTGAAACAAAACGTTTCAACCTCTCCAAATATTGATTGAAGAGTTCGACGTCATTGTGCCCCGCGCCCTGAAAGTACATTTATAGTTTTTTTTACAAATGTACATAAAAAAAAGTAAAATATGATAATATAGTTAGCAGGTTCCTTATCATCAAGTAGGGGTACTCGTACTATGTAAATAAGAAAAAGATAATTACCTCAACCCAAAGGGGCTCCACGGCACGTGGACAGCGCTCGTAAATGGCAAGCCCATGGGAGAAGTCGATCACCTCATCTTCAGTGCCATGGATTACAAGGACTGGAGAGGTCACCTTTGGAATTTTGTCAATGCTGAAATAAAGTTAACAAAAATACATTACTGGGTATATAAAAATACAGTAACTTTACCCATCCAGTTTGCGTGTCTTATAGGGATACAGCAGTTATTTGTAACTATTATTAGTAACATTAGTTCATTGATTTTAACTTCACCTTTCAACCAAAGGTAAATAACTGATAGATATAAAACCCAGTCACGAAGTACTCACTGCACATAATTGTGTTTTATTCAATTCATTCATTTAACATACACTTCAATAATATACAATGCCAGTCAATATGAATGACCCCAAATCATTGTGTTTTCATTGTTATATTTACATGCAGTGTTATCAATGACATCCTTCCCTTCACCCACGCCCACAGATTACTACTTCAACTATTCAATAAAACTGTATATAAAACATACATTCTAAGGACTAATTTTACACAAAACTATAATGCAATATGGGTAAATTAAAACCATATAGTTAAAGGTGCTAGTGACCTCATTTTAGTCTTTGTATTAATGCATATATATAATTTTTCTTTATAATATGAGTTCTTTTAAAAAAAAATTATTTAATAATTTTCTAATAGCAAGCATTTACATTCATTCATTGTATTTATGAGTGTATTGAATTAAGCCTACTTTCCAAATGCTCTGTCTAGTGCTTCATGTGGGAGTGTCTTGAAAGTGTAGGTTGTACGTCCAGTTTTCGGTACACACGCATCCCACGCAATAGTTTTCAGTTATATTGCAGCATAGGCGACAAATGTCGGTATTTGAAGTGATGAAAATCATGGACTTTGTATACGACCCTATTCTGATAAGTGAACACTTGCCATAAGGTGCAGCTGACAGCTGACAGTCACAATAAACAATTATGAATGCTCAATGGCCATGAATTCTCAATTTTATTGAAATGAACTGATGTTTTTTTTAATTTAAGTACCATGGTATATAATCAGTTTCTTCTATTCATCCAATACACCAGCCAACTATATTCATCCAGAGAAGACATTTTGTGTCTACATACAACAACTAACACACCTAATTAATCTTATTTAGATTGAAATAAACACATTGTAAACTGTTAGAAATTACAACTTTATTTTACATATAAGTAAACTATCTTACATAATGTAACAATATCAGATCTTGTTATAGTGTAGAGGCTAAATCTAATGCATGAATTTATTTTTCTATCACAAACTATAACAGTGTATTGTTCCATAACAACAATAACACATATAAATTATATTACCATGAAAATAAAGTTTAACATCCATATCTTGCAATGAAATATTAAAAATGTTTTTATTAAGGTTACACATCATGTTTCTGTTTTTATTTAAAAGTGTTGGCATGAATCAACCATTATGTTTTCCACTTAAGTAAATGATCACTCCATTTCATTTGTGCAATATAAAAATATAGACAATTAAATGTAACAAGTTCTTAAATTTTGGTTTTAAAAACAACAACAAAGGCAACAATAACTAATGTTATTGTTAGCGCGTCTTTTGACGTCGAAGATACTGGGTTTATTGATTTAAAAAGAACAAGATGAAATCAATTGAAAAAAGTGTTGAAATGTTTCTTTTATATAATTTTATTTTTAAAGGAATTTTACAAAACTACATTTGCTATAACAGGGCATAAAAAATACACACACCTGTACTACATGGAGTCAATTTTATTTACCAGTGTCTACAGTTATATAATAAGTTCAATCAAATATTGCATATTTGTGGAGATTGATCATGCAATTAGTAGCAGTAGAGCTCCTTGTGAGAGTTCATCCAGGGAAATACTGCCACCTTAACTATTTCTGCTGCCAAGCAGTCATATGAGCATTACTGTGTTTCAGATGTTTTTGTTTGTTTAGAGGGTAAAGGTGCTGGTGAAATTACAGGCACATGTGATTTTTAAATTTATGTGTCAGTATGATAAGCACAGTGGCAGTATCCCTCAGATCTTTGTGATTGAAAGTTTTCAAGTGACACTGCACCTGTCCATACAGCCGTGTTGCTTACCACCTGGCGCACAACTTGTTCGTCCCGTCACTTGGTATATTAAAAAAATGCGACATATACTCATGCAAAAAATTTTGTCTGTGACATACCACTTTAAGCCAATAACTTTTACTTTTATAAACCTAATTGACAAACACCCAAAAAAAAGGACAGAAAAAATCTTCAGAAAGTTCGATTTGAAGGTCTGATTGTTATCTAGGACTTCACATGCACATTAAGTGGTGAAAGCATGACACTCATTACATGTAAAGACAATTAAGTAGTGTGACTGCATATACAATTGGATGTTTACACCAGTGCAACCTGCAGTATATCATGTAATACGAATAGTTAACTAGGATTCCACACAACTTACATCATGATATTTGTGCATTATTACACAAAAACAAGTTCTAAATGAGAGTGGGACATGTTTTCAAATTAAACATTAAACCATTATCTACAAACAACTTTCATTTGAGTGGAACAAGAATTCTAATGACACGAATGTTAGCATTATTGTTTTTCAGTAGTAAATTGTATTGAACAACAAAATAATGTATGACCTACTTTGTTTTTTTACCAAAAAAAAGCTATCTAATCAGTGTTTAAATTAATTATCTAAATTTAAGTCTTAGCAAACATTTTCTACCTAAATAATAATTTTTAGCTCCTTAATTAACTGTTGTGATAAATTTGTTTAAGTGTTTTGATAAAGTTTTAGTTCCTCATTTCATGTAGACAATGTATCCTGCTGTAAGACGTTTGTTTAGAAAAATAATAATAACAGCTGTTTTGTAATTAGTAAATACATCAGTCATGTGATAAAGTTACATGTTCATCTTATCAAATTAACTGTAAAACAGTTTCAAATAGATCTAATCAAAGAACAAACAAAAGTGATTAATACATTCGGAGGTTTGTTTGGCGGACATAGCAGTGTTAATGAGTTACTCATACACTTTATGGGTTAGAGCTTTAACCATTAATTGAAATAGATAATTTTCAAATAAACTACATTATACTAAACAAATCAATAAATTTTTAACTTACCTGGGAAAAGCATCAAAGAACCATGTTCTCTTGGTATTGGGGAATGCAACTCTCATGCCAGACATGAGTGGCGAGTGCAGTACCACGGCGCCAACTTCATAGCGTGCCGCCAGGTCCACTGTAGGTACTGTCCCAATGCTCTGCCCATACAGGATTATGTTCTCTGGGCTGATGCCGAACCTCGTTCGTAACGCCTGCCATGCAGCGTCAATATCCGCATAAAGATTCTTTTCTGACGGTTTCCCACCACTCACACCATAACCAGAGTAGTCATAGCTGAATATATTACAATTTATCCTAGTACCTAACCCTAAATAGAAACTACTCATCTGTCCCAGATCTACAGCATTGCCGTGAGAGAACAATATCGTAAAGCGAGCGTTGGCGCTGCAGCGAACAAAGATGCAAGCTATTCTGTTGCCTCGCGTTGTTCTCGAGTAGAAGCCTTCAATATTTTCTTTCTCTCGTTCTGAGTACTGCCATTCTGCTCGTTCTGTGAGAGTCAATGAAAATTTCGATCCTGTTTCATCGGGTGCGAATGCATACGTGGGTTCTGGTGGTAAAAATGCAAGCTTAGCCGCAATTTTACCTGGACATGGCGGACAACAAAACAAGCAACAGAGTTCATTAAAACTTAACCCGTTCATGATGGAAGTCACATTAGTTCATTAGAACAATTTTACTGGTACAGTTTATTAGTTATTCACAACTCACAAATTATTAGTCATGGCAAAAATAAAAGAATTTCACTATAAAAATTGACAGGCCGTCAACACTTCATTCAGCCATGACGGTTTGACTTTTTTTGTTATTTTTTCTTGGCTCTGGATTCATCAATACACAGTATAGTTCACGGCCAAGTTCATAAAAAATATTTTTAATCTTTTTTTTTAAGAAAAAAGCATTGTTCATAGTCAAATATAAATTATAATGTTGTTTCAAAGGCAGAGTTTGGATTTTAGACTAGCGAGTTTTACCCAATGATTTTTTACCCAAAAGTGTAGAGAAGAGCGCGAAAGCGATTTTTTTTAAAAACTGGATTAAATAATTTGATTAGATGAAGTGGCCTTTGGATTCTGAGGCTGCTGTTTCATATGTTATATAGGTACATATAAAATCATCAATACATATACAATCGCAGTCACAACTAAAATAATACTAAATCAAATTGTCCATTTTCGATTGCGATCTTGTGCTGTGTGCAGTCGTATTTTTCATTGACGAAGGACGTGTCCCTGAAAGGCGTTCGAGACTTTACGGACGATTTTCTTTTCATCGACATCCGAATAGGTATGTACAGGGTCAAGAGCACGAAAAAGATTGACAATTAAGACTTAAATCCAATTCTGTGCCGCTTACGATAAGACTGGTCCAAAGTACAAAGTGTCAAACTTGATATGCTCTTGACTGTACTAATATTTACAAATTTACAATAAATAAATATTATGATGTTTCTTTACTCCCTGTCTTTGGTGAAAAAGTAAAATATGTTTTTAGGACTTTTCTTTTAGTATCACTGAGTGTTAAAATATACATTATATAAATATAAATAAAATGTTTGTTGTCACCACAAACATAGATATTGAAATAAACTAATATTAACATAATCCAAGCATTTTTATTATTTTGCAGAAGACATTTACAGTGTCAATTATATCCATAGATCTACCAACCATAGTGTATATATATATATAACATTCGTCCATCCCTACAATTTACAACATCTCCTCGATAAGCCGCCGAGGTCGCCTGATGGTGCGCTCATGGCGCTTTGATGCTTGCTGTAGGGACGCCGTGGTAGGTGGCGAATGCGTAGTAGCAGCGCATGGCCGCATTGGGGTGGTAGCTGAGTTCTGCGTTCCTGACGAACTTGCAAGGGGTTCCACCTCACTGGTGTTTATATGATGCGGGTCGTGTGTGGCCTGAGAGCCATCAGTAGAAACTGGACTGATATGGTCGGCTAAGCGGGAACGCACTTGGTCAGCATGATATCTCCTTTCTACCCCATTGGCTGTGTCTACGGTGTACGAGTATCTATGCGTACGTCTGGATATGGTAGCAGGTTCCCATCGTGACCCATCCCGGGCTCGGACAAACACGCTGTCCCCCGATCTAAAACATGGTGTTAAATTTTCTGAATTTATATTAGCCTGTATCTGCCTATGCTGCAGGGCCTTTTTAGAGTTAGGGCGTGCGTTATCCAAAATACAATGCAGCTGACGTCCGAACATAAGTTGTCCTGGGCTCTTACCGGTGGTGGAATGAGGTGTTATGCGGTAGGAAAAAAGGAAATTTTCTAGTCGTCTTTTCAAGGTGAGATGGTCACTGGCACTTGATGATAGCCTGGATTTGAAAGTGCGAACCAGACGTTCAGCCAAACCGTTAGTCCGGGGATGGTACGGGGATGATTTTATGTGTAGAATACCCTTGTCTCTACAATAGTCTTGAAATTCCTGAGAAGTAAACTGTGGTCCATTGTCAGAAACCAAGAATTGAGGGAAGCCGAAGGTGGTGAAAATGGAATCTAACTCTTCACACAGTTTAGAAGTGGTTATCTGGTTCATGGGTTTAATTTCGACCCATTTCGAAAACGCATCTGCTAAGACAAACCAATATTTTCCCTCGAACGGGCCTGCAAAATCAATGTGTAGCCTTTCCCACGGGTTGTCAGGAACGGACCACGAGTATATAGGCAATTCAGCGTTGTTCGGCCGATTCTCTTGGCATTTGCGACAACGTTTAATGTACTCCTCAATGTCATCGTCAATGGACGGCCACCATACGTAAAAACGTGCTAGCGCTCTCATTGCGGATATGCCTGGGTGTCCTGTATGCAGATATTCCAAGGTGGCCTTTCTCAGGGTGTTCGGTATTACTATTCGACCTTGCCACATTAATATCTTATTTTCAATGGACAACTCAGTGCGCTTCCGAGCATAGGGCTTTAAGTCATCTGAATAAAAATTTTCACGCCAGCCGGTCTTAATGTACTCTGATACCTGTTTAAGCAAAGGGTCCTTCCTTGTCGCGCCTCGTACACTGTCCTCTGTTAACGCAATATCCGAAACTCTTTCATGCTGCAACTGAGCTACCACTCTGTGTACTGTCAATTCTGCATTAGACGGTTTATCTTCTGGATTGGGCATCCTAGAAAGAAAATCAGCCATAAAATTTAGATGCCCTTTTGTAAAAACTATATCGTAGTCATACCCTCCAATGATTAAAGCCCAACGCACTAGACGGTTATTGACAATTTTCGGCAAGTTACGTTGTGGTCCCAAAACGTGAATCAATGGCTTATGATCAGTGCTAAGTATGAATTTGGTACCACGTAAATATTGATCAAACTTTTGGATTCCAAAAAATATTGCTAAAGCTTCTCGGTCAATAACTGAATATTTAGTTTCCGCTGGTCTTAGTTTCCTTGAAGCAAAAACGATAGGTTGAATTTTGTCTGCCGATTTATGATATAGGACGGCACCCACACCTTTTTCCGAGGCATCGCAGGCTAAATACAATGGGCGCTTTTCGTCAAAAGCAACAAGCGGTTTCGATTTACTAATAAGATCTTTTGCGTTCTTAAAACTCGTATTTTCTTTGACGGTCCATTGCCACTTCCGGCGACCACCAGTCAATGCATGCAGATCTGCGCAGACACTATGTAGGTGAGGTATAAATTTCTCGTAAAAATTTATAAGACCTAAGAACGACCGCAGTTCTTGGGCGTTAGTGGGCGGTGTCGCTTTCATTATTGCATCAATTTTCGATTTCGTCGGCCTAATTCCGTCTTTAGTAATTGTGTGCCCAAGGTATTCAATCTCTGTCTGGAAAAATGAACATTTCTTTAAATTGACTTTTAAGCCCGCCTTATCTAGTTTGCTAAACACGGTCGATAGTGTTTGGAGGTGTTCAATGTCATTTTTCCCTGTTAAGGCAATGTCGTCAAAATACACTGCGACATTTGGTACACCGTCCAAAAGTTCATCCAAGTAATGTTGGAAAATTGAAGGAGCTGTTGAGATTCCAAATGGCATCCTATTGTATTGATAATATCCTTTGTGCGTAGAGATTGTCAGGTACTGTTTCGACTCTGGAGCTATTTCAAATTGCAAGTACGCATCCCTTAAATCTATTTTCGAAAATTTGGCTCCATTTGCCAGATTTTGTCGTAGCTGGTCAAAGAGTGGGACTGGGTGAGAATGAGTGACAATAACAGGATTAATAGTGCTACGAAAATCACCGCAAATTCGGATTTGGCCATTTGTTTTTACGACATTCACTGTGGGTGTAGCCCATTCTAATGGCGTGACATTTGGATCAACTTTAGTCACGATTCCTTCGTCAACTAAACGTTGAAGTTCAATTTCTATGTTCTTACGCATGGAAAACTTAACTGGTCGAGCAGGGACATGTTTAGGTACTGCCCCAGGTTTTATATGAATGTTGACTTCATAATTTTTAACTTTTCCTAGTTTATTATCAAAAAGGGATGAAAAGGTTGAAAGTACCTGTTTAAGCGTAGTGGTGTGTTGAATGGGTTTAACCGAATAGACTGGCTCTGGGAATGTCATTTTATACATCTCGCTCCACTGGAGGCCAAAAAGCATTGGATTGGCGTCTTCCATAACCACAACAGGTAATATTTTCCGCTCTCCCATGATTTCAACGGTTACGTCGGTGAGACCTTTTGGTTTGAGCTTAAGGTTCCCATAAGCTCGTAGCTTCGGTGCCTTGGTTAGAGAGGGTTCTCCGATCCGCTTCCAGAAATTTGTGCTAATAATGGAGTACACGGATCCTGGGTCCCAATCGAATGTGCAACTGACACCGTTGACGGTTACATCAATTCTCTTGCTGTCCTTGTTTCTCTTGCGTTCAACCTTGAAGACATCATCACTTTCATCCGAACTCGTGTCAAAAGACTGTGATGAACTTCCATCATTGTGTGCATTGTGCTTAATTTTATGCAGTTTGTTACTATAATTGGTTGGTTGTTTCTTTTCTGTCGCGGTGCTCGCTAAATATGCCCTACCAGACTTTATACAGCAACTTTCAAAATGACCTTGTATGTGGCATTCATCGCATGTATGGTCTTTTGCCTTGCAAACGTTTAGCCTATGTCTCTCTTGTGCACCACATCGACGGCACTGGTTTGGACTTAGTTTGCGTAGAAACGTACATTGTTTATAGTGACGTCCTGTACTTGTTCTTGCTTTTACTTTATTAGCGGTAGCGGGCATGCTACTATCAGCATCACCTTCTGCTAACTCTCTGGACTGAGCTACTGCAAAGAATTGATCGAAAGTAACCTCTACAAGTTTTCCGTCGTAAGTCTCTTGAAGGTCTGGCCATTTCTGTTTTAGGTCCACTTCTAGTTGAGGGTGATTTAAGCCGGTAGCAAATCGATCGCGCAATTGACGTTGAAACATTGTGTCCTTGTAGCCACAATCGCTGGCGAGTTTCTTTAGCCTGTTAGCATACTGTTCCATAGTCTCGTTGTGGTCTCGTACGCAACTCCAAAATTCAGTTAGTGCTTTATACCTCGTAACTTTAGTTCGATGTAAATCGAGTAGTTTAGACTTAATGTCATTGTAGGAACTGTTTCCAAAGTTAGGAACGAGTGCTATTTTTAGGTCGTGAAATATCTCAGGAGACATACATGAAAATAATAATTCTTTCCTTGTGTCATTATCACTTACGGCCCATATGTCACATTTGGCTTCGAAAAAAATCTAAAAATTTTTCTACCGATACAGTCGCAGGGTTAAAAGTGTCGCATTTGAAACTTTTAATAATTGTGTACTTGTTGCTGCTTGCCGAGCTGGTAGGTTCCGTGCCAGGTGTTGCTGGCGTGGGGAGCTCCACTGCTGGTCGTTGCTGCAACACAAGTTGTTGCAAAATGTCCGAAATCTGTTGTTGCTGATTTTTTTGTAATTGTAGAAATTCTTGGAATTGTTCCTTATTCATTTTGTTTGGTTACTCCTCGTCGCCAATGAAATAAACTAATATTAACATAATCCAAGCATTTTTATTATTTTGCAGAAGACATTTACAGTGTCAATTATATCCATAGATCTACCAACCATAGTGTATATATATATATAACAGATATATGTCTGTGGTTGCCACTGCTCACGCAGCGCAGTGTGCTGTATCGTTGTTGCGCGTGCAAAACCGCGGAAGAGCAGTTTGTAAATACTGCGTAACAGCAAAAGGTACAAAATTGAAATATCGCGCCAACAGATACTTAACGCTAATTCGCTTAAGCTAGATCTCACAGAATTTGAATTCGCCTCTAAGGGTCGTATTCTAGAACTCTACTCAATGCTCAAGTCAGGATTTGAGTATGATTTCAAGCACTAGAAATCATACTCAAGTTCCTGCCATTAGGGTCGTATTTCCAGTGCTTGTGTTTCAATTGCAATCCTGACTTGAGCATTGAGTAGAGTTCTAGAATACGACCCTAAGAAACCTCATTTTCGCCATCGAAACAATACCGCGAAACAGTAGCATTGCTGAAATTGGCCGCAAGTCCGCGTATTTACCAAATTAATGAAGAAGTTATAACACAGGCACCTGGAATTAACATATCATTGATATGCAGCAGAAAGAGAGTTGCAGACAGTATGGAACCCTAAGGAACTCTATCGCCATATGTTCGGAAGAGTAGCCTTGTAAGACCACTCGAATCGAACGTTCACTCAAGAAATCCGAGATCCAATTGCAAAGGTCAGTGGGAAGCCCATAAGAGAGAAGCTTACTTAAAAGGCTTGTGTGCCAGACCCTGTCAAAGGCTTTGGTCTAAAGACACTGCAAGGGCTTCGCCTTGTTTTTCTATAGCCTCGCTCCATATATGACAGGCATACACAAGAAAATCCCCAGTAGATCGTCGTCGGAATCCGTACGGCGATCACTAAGGAGGTCGTTGTCTTCAAGGTGCGACAGGAGACGGTTGTTGCGTACACGTTCCATAGTCTTGCAGAGAATGAAAGTGACTGAGATAGGTCTATAGTTGACAGAGTCAGCTCTGCTTCACTTTTTCGATACAGGTTGCATGTTTGCAAGCTTCCACGACCTGGGAACTACACCAATCTCAAGTGAGAGGCGGTACACGCGTAGGCGTGTGAGAACAGGAGACAACTCTGGCGCACAGTTACGCAGGTCTATTGCTGGAATTCCATCTGGCCCGCTAGCTTTATTTACGTCTAGATTTCGCAGAGTTCTAAGTTGCGAATTGGTGCACAAACAAATAGTGAAGCCAGCCTGAGGTGTAGGTGGTAGGTTCCCTGCGGCATCCAAACGCGAACTCTCTGCAAAGAGTGAGGCAAAAAGATTCGCCTACTCTTCCGCAGTATGAGCCAGTGAGCCATCCGGCCTTAGCAGAGGTGGCAAAGATGGGCGACAAAAGTTAGATTCGACCGCTTTGGCCAGGGACCAAAAGGATTTGCTGCCTGCTGGATAAGAAACAAGCTTGGCCCCTATGCGGCGCACATGGTCGAACTTAGCCCTATAACGTAACACACTTTTGCACTTCTTGGTGGCCTTATTAAAAGCTTTCTTCAAATTTTGAGTAGGTATTCGGAGTTTACGTAGTCGAGCATCTGCCCAAGCTTGGTACGAGGACTGTTTAAGTGCTTAAGCACAACTACAATCAGCGTTAAACCATGGACGACCTTGGGGTTCATTAGGTACATCAGAGTATGGTATGTAACACTCCATACCCAAACGCAAAACCTCGACTACAGCATCAGCACAGCTCGACGAGTTTTCTGAAATAAAGCACGCCTGTCAGGGTTATGACGCAAAGTTATGTACGTCAGCTGTGTATTATAGTGGGTAATATCATAATAAAAAAAATAGGGCGGCGTAAAATAGTGTGGCGTGGCTACAGAGCAAGACACTACCTTTTAATTATATTTGTGCAAGACATTTAACAAAATTAAGCTGCTGTGATTTTCAGAGAGCTTATGAGACTGTTTTTTTTATAGTCTTAATTACACATATTTTCGAACTACAAGATTTAATCACATGTTAACCACGAGAACTTACATTCTTTTTGGTTTATTTTTAAAAAATTTGTATGTATTTTCACTACGAACAGTAATAATTTATTGTTTATCTGGTAATACTTTTTTGGTCTAAGAAGATGTTTGTTTTAGAACCTTTTTTGTTATTTTATATTATGACCCTGTACTGTCCTAGAGAAGGACAAAAGCCTTCTTACTCTCTGCCACTTTTGCTCTTCAGTCATAACAAAATCAAACCTTTAATAAAATGTTTCATTTCAATCCCGCGCACCTAACGGTGTACTACTTTTTCTGTAATTTGTTACTACAAAACCGCATTAGTGACTTTATCCGGAATCTAAACAAGTTACCTATGGGTAAACTTACATTATTTTTCTACAAAGTGAATAGCAAAGAAGTAGCTACAGAGTTCAGTCGGTAAAATGGCTAAGATATTAAGTTTTTTATTCTTCCTGTAAAATCGTGAAGTGCTCTTCAGCGGTTTTGCACGCGCAACGACGGTATAGGCTTTTTTTTTATTCCAAAAACCTATAGATCTAATGATTTAAAACGTTCGAGTAGAACCCGTGTCACAAATGTGCAGTTTTCAAAAAAAAATGAATATGTTTTCAATAAAATTAATACCATTACAAAAAATGGCATACAATGCATACGTAGTTTGAAAGTACCTACTTCTTATGTTGGACCTATAAAACCTTTTACCAAGCTCATATATTTTTAATTAGTAGTAATATACAATTTTAAAAATTTAGTTTTAATTTTTTTTCTGCCGCCAAGCAGTAATTACTGTGTTCTGGTTTTGAAGGGTAAGGGTGCTGGTGAAATTACAGGCACATGGGACTTGTCAACTTATGTCTCAGGGTGAAAGGCGCACTGGCAGTGCCCTTCAGATCTTTGCGATTTAAAGCTCTGAGTGGCACTGCAACTGATAAGGACATGCGTGTAGCTTACCATCAGGCACACGACTTGTTCGTCACGTCACTTGATTATTAAAAAAAAAATTTTAAAAGAAAATTTTTTCAACAATTTTTTGTTTCATAAAATTGTATAATAATAATACTTAACGCTTACAAAAAAAATTGGATGGTGATCAGAAAACTAAAATGATTTCACATGTTCCTCCTAAACTTGTATGCAGTTCTTTACTTTGTTAGTATTGCATGTTATTGACAAGTTAAAAAACTTTGAAAACAATATTCCGAGAACTGGTAGGCTTATCTGTAGAGTAAACAACAAGAAAAAGCTGTGCGCAATGTTATGGTAAGAAAAACAAAGTACGTAATTTTTAATTTGTTAAAAAAAGTTTATTGAAAAGAATCAAGTAACATTTCAATAACTAGAAATACTATTTGCATGTATAGATGTTAAATTATAAATAGATACAGAATAAACTATTGAAATTTTGTTCAACACATACGTAAGATGTAACTTAATTGCTATACAACCGTTGAGAATTTTAGTATGGTGGGCCACATTTAAGACATCAATTTGGTTGTCGAAAGATAATGTCGAAAATACCTTTACCTTTAGTTTGTGTAGCTTAATCTGTGGCTGAGTGTACTATTTAATATTATAATATCTACTCATGTATAGACAGAGAATGAAAAAGGTACAGAGATCTAATAAACACAGATTTGAATAAAAATAAATAATATGGTGATTGTAGAAATAGGTATTGGTACTACGACAACCACTTATGAATGCTGCCGTATAATAAGTAATGTTCAGTGTTACGCTGGTTATATAATTAACCAACTTCAAAAAAAGGAGGAGGTTCTCAATTCGACTGTATGTTTTTTTTTGTATTTATGTTACGCGAGAATACTGGCATTTGTGGTGTGGGCACGTCAGTGGTCCCATTTAAATTTGAAGAAAATATTTCACCTCTAAGGGTGGCAAAGTAGGGGATGAATCCGGTTTCGCGCACTTTCCAGTAACCGATTTCAATATAAAAACTTGGCCAATAGATGTAATTCCACGAACTTTTGAGGTCGGTTTTTTAAATACTCTGTACTGAGATTGTTATTCTGTATGTACTCATCTAAGTGATAAAAATAAAAGTATTGCACTCAATAGACAACCTAGGTTGGCATTTGTTTTTTTTCGGCTCAAAATTTATTTATAAATTTTACTATTTCCAAATATGAAATGTCTTTGAAGACGGGACCAATTAGAAGTAGGTTCTGATGAAAATTAATAACTGCTACTGCATTGACTTATTGTAAGTCAATGTGCTACTGTTTGTAAAAACATAGGTTCTTCAAAGATTTGTATTCATAGAATCAATATAATATATACATTTTTATATAATGGTTTTTATTGCATAATTATTACCGACATCAAGAGCACATTATGCTTGACACTTTGGACCGTTCTTAACGACAGTGGTTATGGAGGTAACAGTATCGTAGAGTGATTAAACGATATACTCATGTGTTAAACTTGACGTGCTCCTGACTATTTATGTCTGTAAATTATCATAATTGCATTGAAATTAGAATAAAATTGAAATTCATTTCACATTCGTACTCCTACGATAACCACGTTAGTATTTAATCATTTTACACAGATATAATATCATGATTAAATAAAGAGTCAAACAGTTTAGGTATCATTTAGCACTCAGTTTGACAAAAAACAACTTATTGATAACAAATTATTGTTTAATTTGTCCAAATGTCTTACAATGCCCTTCACGTGAGTTTATGATTGCCACTTATTTCCCGTTGGTTAACGGAATGTTATCGCTATTTAAGACCTTGGGAATTTTTTTCGGACGATTGTTAAGGTTCTACTATCACATCCGTGATCTAGTCAAAAACAGAATACTAATTAGGTACTTTCATAGCGCACTTGTTAGGGGCACACTTGGAGTGTCATGTCAGGACGACTGTACACAAGGAGGTATCCTTGTGTACAAGTGGCTTTCGGTCCTATGCAATAGCAAGTTTGGAAGCCAATGGTCTCTAGTTGAGCTCTGTCCAGGTATTCACTGAGTGTTGGGTAAAGAGTCGTCACCCAATCCGGAATGTTTTATGCGTAACGTGTCTGCGCGTGGTTAGGCGGAGCCCAGGTACTAACGGTGTACCTTCGATACTTAGGCGCCTCGGGGGAACCACATCGCATCCGCTTCTTATACCTTGTAACAAAGACTGGAGTAGAGTCGCTAACATCTACTCTGCATAGGTCGGCAAGCGGGCTCTGTAGGTCCGTGACCTTTACTTCCTTAGCTGCTTGTCGGAATTGTGTAGATTTAGACAACAGCATCAATTTTAATGCTTAAATTTTATCTCTGGATGAAACCAAGGCTATGATGGATAAGCCACCCAGTAATAGCATTCGAGATCTCTCTGGAGACCCTGGTGATCGAGTCGAGTTTCGTCGGAAGAGTTTAGAAAATCTGATGAGCACGGGATGGGCTATCAAGAAGCCTTTCTGCTCTCGGAAAAACCTTGAAGTGAAATTCCGATCGACAAACCAAAGCGTGACCAGTCAGTAATGTACAGAAGGACGAAGTAAGGAAGGCTTGCACGACCATGACACCTGCTGGCTGCTGACACATGAATCTTCAGTGAAATGGCGGGCTCCTTGCTCTTGGGTATTCTTGGTAATACGGAACCCATATCGGTGGAGCAAATGGGTCTGGTCCACATCACCACGTCGTCGCATGGTTAGGGGCCTAAGTTCTTGGGTTTCTTCCACAAGCCTGGCTGGATTATAATTACTTGTCAGAAACAAGACAGTGCAGACGCGCAGGCTTGAGACAAAATTGGTAAAAACTAAATATCCAAAGCCTACGACCGCTACCATCTATATCCCTAAAAGAGAGAGTTATAACGAGAACATTTACATTATACAGGTTCCAGACTTGTGTACCAAGGGCTTGTAAACAGCATATATTATCTCCAAGGAGCAACAATAGTATGCTCAGCCTACGTATCTGGAAAGAACAATAACCACCCGGCCGATCAGACCCGTTTTGTGGGATACGCCCAACGACAAAAAGCCGAGCTTCTGGTGGGATGTTAACGCTCGTTATACTGGGGAAGCAAGCATTAACAATATGACCAGAATAACAGAATACATACAGCAACAACATAACCAGGCTAGCGGAACAGTTTAACACGTTAGCCAAAAGGATATTAAAACAACAAAAGCCTGGAGAATCCTTCAGTTCTTTAGTACTGTTCCAAGTTGTAATTAATGGTGATCACAATAAATCAGTTGCTGATCACAGTGATGAGATACTGCACAGGTCCTGAATGAAGCCACCCTAATAATAATAATAAATAAATAGGGGTTCACTTTGCTTCTAGACGTTTTTAGAAGGCGCAGGAGTTCAAGGATTTTATATAAAAATAAATTTGGATAATATCTTACTCGTATATCTTACTATTCGGTTATCTGTTTCAATTCTGGAAGTGCCGTGTTATGTGTGTTTACATACTAGGCTTTACGTGAGATATCCTGAGAGGTGGGGCGGATTGCTCTGAGTTGGCGACTCGTGTCATCTAGCAACCACTTTCATGCGCGCAATCACAACTTGCGGACTGTACGTTGGACGCATACAGTAGCGCAACATATCACTCCGATCATGCATACCATTTGCTGCTTGACATGGCTGATGGTCGAGTGTTTCAGATCTTGTAATTTGTATATTTTATTACTATATTACTTTATACTTTAATTTGTGCTTGTACATTTTAGTTACGACCGTTAGCTATATACATTGTAAAATAAATTATTAAAATCTCTTACATCAGACTTCATTAATGGAAAATCAGTATTACTATGATGTATAGGTAACAATAAATCTTGTTTAATAATTATTAGAATAACAAAAGCGTATACTTAGATTTGTTACTGAATATAAATAGCAACATACAAATCAAAGATCATTGTATCTTTCATTTGGAACCCAAAACTCCAGGGCCGAGTCGCAAGTACCGATCACCATAACGTCATTCAGATACCGCAACTGAAAGAATAGTCAAACCTTGTTAATTATTATCATAACCAGTAGGGCCAGCACGATAGGGTGCGACTTGCGCGAGAGCGACATAAAGCGCGAGATACTGCTGTTCACGCATAGAGATCTCGCGCTTTGTGTCGCTCTCGCGCAAGCAGGGATCGGTATAGGTAGTTTTTTTACCTAAAGTTTGAGGAACATAGACTGAAAATGGAGACTGCCTTACGACAATATTTTTTAAGTCCTGGACCTGTTCGGGATTCGGGAAATAACTTAAGTACATTAAAAATTGACGTAATTGGGGGCAGGCAGGTACACTATCCGCGGAGATTGGGGACCTCCGCACCGCCAGTACCACGGCCCGGCGGGCCTACGGCCGATGCCGCCGCAGGCGCCAAACCCAAAGTGAGGAGAGAAGGCTCCACAGCGCCCCTCAGGGCGCGAGACAGGCCCTGAAGGTCGCAATAGGACGGGCCAAGGACTCTGCGAAAGAGGAGTTCTTGGCCACCCTGGACGCGGACCCATGGGGGAGGCCGTACAAAGTTGTGCGCAACAAAATGTACGGCGCATCTCCCATGGAGTCACTGGAGCTGGATCTCCTCAACCGGGTGGTGGAGGGCCTTTTCCCCGAACCGCAACCCTTCACCCCACCGGCCATGGTGCCCCCCAGAGCAGACGGGGGGCAGACTGAGGAACCCCCCCGGAAATCACCAATCACAGGGGGAGTTGGAGTGGGCGGTGGGACGGCTGCGGGGGCGGAAGAAGGCTCCCGGCCCGGACGGGGTACCGGGACGAGTCCTTCGCATTGCCCTGAAGCATCTCGGGACCCGCCTCAAGCATCTCATGGATGACTGCTTGAGGACGGGGTTGTTCCCGAGATGCTGGAAGGAGGGAAGGCTCGTCCTGGTGACCAAGCCGGGCCGACCTGCGGACTCCCCCTCGGGGTTCAGGCCCCTCGTCCTGCGACGAGGTGGCGAAGATCCTGGAGCGAATCATCGCCTCCAGGATCAACGAACACCTGAGGGGGACAGGCCCCGATGTGTCGCAGCGGCAGTACGGGTTCAGGGCTGGACTCTCCACCCTGGACGCCCTGGAGTCGCTGCGACACATCGTGGAGGAGGGTAACGGCGAGGGGGAAGGCGTGGTGGCTGTGTCGTCGGACCTTCGCTGTTATCAGGGAGGCGCTGAGGTACCATAATATCCCCAGGTACCTCAGCCGTCTGGTGGAGCACTACCTGGACGACAGGGTGGTGCTCTACCAGACGAGGGAAGGGAGGCGCGCCGAGCGCCCAATGAGATGCGGAGTACCCCAGGGGTCCGTATTAGGACCACTACTGTGGAACCTGGGGTACGATTGGGTGCTGAGGGGCGCGCTGCTGTGTGTAGCCGCCACCAGCGTGTCATCGGCGTACGCGATGACCGCCGTCCGGGGGACCACCTTCCAGGAGGCGGCCCGAAGAGCCTCAGTAGCGGCGGACATGGTGGTCCGCCGAATACAACTGCTGGGGCTCGAGGTCGCCGTGCCGAAGACGGATGTGGCCGTCTTCGGCGGGAGGGGTAGAGGTTGGGCGGTGCCGGCAGGCGCCCACGTCTCCATCGCAGGAGTATCGGTCCCGGTCAAGTCCCAGATGAAATATCTGGGACTTGTCCTGGACCGGCGATGGAACTTCGGGGAGCATTTCCGGCAACTTGCTCCCCGAATAATGGGCGCCGCATCGGCGTTGGGCAAGCTCCTGCCCAACCTCGGGAGGCCGGGAGCCCCATGCAGAAGGCTATACGCCGGGGTGACCCGGAGTATGGCCTTATACGGGGCTCCCATCTGGAGAGGGTGGTCGCCCTGCGAATGTGCAGGGCGTACATGACGGTGGCTTGCGCTGCCGCATGCGTCCTCGTCGGTACTCCGCCGTGGGACCTCGAAGCCGAGGTCCCGGGGGAGGTCCGCACCTACCGGCGGGGAATGAGGGACCGAGGCGAGCGACCCGCTCCTGAAGGGGTGGAGCGGGAACACCGCCTCGCGGCGCAGCGCATGCGGGACCGGTGGAAAGAGGTCTTGGCGGATCCCCCCTATGGCGCTAGTACCATAGAGGCTATCCGCTCTGTCCTCGTAGAGAGTACCACCTTGTGCAGGTGCTGACCGGGCACGGCTGCTTCGGTCACTACCTGCACAAGGTGGCGAGGAGGGAACCGTCCCCGTCGTGGCACGAGTGCGGCGCTGCGGATGACACCGCGCAGCACACCCTAGAGGTGTGTAGCCGGTGGGATGAGCAACGCCGCACTCTGACGGGGACTGTAGGGCAGGACCTCTCGCTGCCGAGCGTGGTTGCCGCCATGCTCGATAGCGAGGAGTCCTGGGAGGCGTTGGCATACTTTTGCGCAGATGTTATGTCGCAAAAGGAGGCCGCGGAGCGGGTGCGCAAGGATGCGGCGGACGCGCACCCGCTCCGGCGCAGACGTACTGGGAGAAGGCGAAGGCAGTTCGCTGCTCGCCTGATCCCCTAGTGAGACCAGCGGGCTCTGGACAGGGACTCCGGAGCCTGCATTGCACGGCCTCACTCGTCTGGGGGGCGGGTCGGAGGACAACCGACTCGCCCCTCCGTTGGCGCGGGAGCCCTGGCGTAAGCTAGGGCGGCCGGGCGGCGTCGTGGTGAAAGCTTACTGATCCCACGGCGCCGACTCAACCGGCGAGAGGGAAACCCGGGGGGTTTTAGTGGGGTAGGCCCTCCAGTCTGGAGGGAGAGTCCCCACATAACTCCTGAGTCTCCCTGGGTTCAGGGGTATCCATAAAGATTTCCCCCGTCAAAAAAAAAAGGCAGGTACACTATATTTGTCTTAACTTTGCGACACAGTGGGTCGGATCGGCGATATTGCGGACAATGGATTTTTTTTCACGATACCTCTCTCGAGACGAGAGGAGACGAGAGATCCTGTTCTCCTAGTTAAATATTGTTATATCACATTTTGCCATAAATTTAATAGTTTAGTAGGAAAAAAAATGTGAATTTTTTTTATGGGTTCATACTTTTCGTGCCCCATCGTTACAAAACCTTAGTCGATTCAGTCTTGGAATCACTACAGACGTATTATTAGACTTATCTTCTATAAATTTGCACAGTAAACGCGCGCCCAAACCTGTGAATTCACTACTTATATTGCACATTTTCTGACGCGTACAAGCAGTACCATACAAAAAATACACATTTTATTTTTTCCTACTAAACCAGAAAATGAAGACTGTCTCAGGACAATATTTTTTAGGAAGAGGAAGACCGAGACTATTTAGATCAGATAAAGGAAAAAGTTAATGTCGTGTCGTATCAGGAAATCAAGGCTAAAGCGCTAAACAGAGATGATTGGAGATTGCTCCACTGACAAGAGCCTAGCTCTTAAATGAGAAAAAGAAAAAGAAGAAACTATTAGATTTATAGCAAAATGTGATATGACAATATTTAATTAGGACAATAGGATCTCTCGATTGGCATTTTTTTAAAGAGGTATCGTGAAAAAAAATCCAATATCTGCAATATCGCAGATCCGACCCACTGTGCATCGCAAAATTAAGATAAGCATACTGCACCTGCCTGTCCCCAATTACGTCAATTTTTAATGTTCTTAAGTGATTTCCCGAATCTCGAAGAAGTCCAAGACCTAAAAAATATTGTCGTAAGGCAGTCTCCATTTTCTGTCTATGTACCTCAAAGTTTAGGTAAAAAACTCTTCCTATTCCGATCCCTGATCATAACTTGCATATTCACATATTATAATGCCATATAAATACATATGCAATTTACAGTATTACAATAATTATTATTTATTAAGCCCACCTGAGTGACATCAAATGTAGTTGTCTTCACACTAGCATACTCTTTAGGTGGATAGCAGGTGTACATGAATTTAATATCTCCTCTGTCTGAACATACAATCATATTGCCTGCACTTTGATAACAACCAATTATTTTACTTGAAGGTTTCGTTATAGGAGGTTCAGGCCACAGTTCAAGTGATTTAATATGTCTGTACTCTTCAGGGTGGAATAAATGTAGGCATCCTTTAGAGTCTCCTATATACATAGCTGATTGGTTCCAGCTAGTACATACAGGATATGCTTTCTCAGTTATCTTCACATCATGAACTAACAACTTGCCTGCAACTCTATCCCAGATAGCTAACGTTTTGTCTTCACTTATTGATGCCACCATACTTTTGTAAATATTAAGTGATAAAACTGGTCCTCTGTGGGGTTTATAGGAGCTTACAGGATCAGATCCTGCACGTTTATCAAATGATAACACTTTCTTAGAATATAAACCAGCCATAACAATACTTTCAGTAGTTGCTACTGATAATGCTGACATACGACATCTGGAACAAATAGTGTCCGTCTTGATTACAATACTATGATTATACAGTAGATTGTAGATTGAAAATTTCGTAGGTAACATTTATTGTACTTTCAGTTACTTATTAAATAATTTATTATATAAGCGCTTACCGGAATGTCTGAAAACACACAAATCCACATTCTAGGTCCCATGCTTTGACTGTATTATCCCAAGAAGCTGAATATATAGTAGATGCACAGTCTATATTGTCTGGAGCCAGATCCCATACCCAGCCAGCATGAGCATCTCGGATATATTTTGGCCTTGCATCTACTAGTGTTGTAGTATTGTCACTTTGGTCATGGGGTTTAATATTTAATACATTCCATAGAGCCATTCCTCGATCCCTTCCTCCTGATACACATAATTCACCATTCTGAAAAATAAATACAAACCAATTAAAAACTTGACATTTATTTTAAAAAATTGTGTTGAAAATATTTAATTACCTACATTAACTAATAGGACTGTGTCAACTGAGGCAAAATGCACATCTTTGACAACAATGTGCCTCATAGAGTCTTTTACATTTGACCATTTCTTCTTCTCTACCTCCATTTCCACACACACATCTTCCCAATCTATCTGTACTTCATCCCATATTTTCAAATTTGGTAGAGCAGGATAGCAGCCTCCAATTTTGTTGTGGACCCAATACTTCCATAAATGATCATCGGCCAATATATCAGCAAACCTACTGCAGACTCTGCTAAATGTGTACTTTAAGAAATGTGCATCCAGAAACGAGCATATCTTGAGAATAATCTGAAATAAAAAAATTTGTTGTTAGTTTGTAGTCGCTAAAAAGTTTCCGAACCTATAGAGCATTAAACCGCAAACAGAGCATCAGTCACGCGTCAGTCTTCGTTTGGTCGACCGAGAGCGAGCTTGGCAATTGGGTGTTTTTTTTTTCGTGCATATTCTATGTCCAAGTCCAACGTAAATTTCACGTTTTTTTCATAGAATATGTATACAAGGTGTAATCGTTAACTGCACCCAGGCGATTATTCCATAAATATGAGAGGTATCAAAAAGCTTTAAACTGATATCAAAAGTACGTTACCTAATGGGTAAATCGACATCAATAATTTTTTTTAAATAAAACTGGATATATCCAAAATTTTCACATTAAATGCTCCCATACATTTAACCCTTAACTATAGTCGTGGAAAAAATAACGCTTCTGTAGTCGTGGGTCCAATGGACCCATGCATTTTGGAATGGTGATAAAATAGAGAGTATGATATATTTTTAATATTTATTTATTCAAACTATTATTTTAACTTTGATAAATGCTGTGTTGTATAAAATTAACGGTAGGAACATATATATCAATATCTATTTATATCAGTTGTAATTTTCTTAATCTAAAATCTGGTCAACTAAAAACAGTTCATAAAAAAATTAAACAAACGTCAAAATTCACAAACAAAACTTATTTCTTACATTTGAAAATATATTGTTTTAGAAAATAAAATAAAATTAAAAGTATCTCCTCGTAAAAGAGAACTGACACTAGTGCAATTTAACCTAATTATAAAGATGAATTGCACACACTTTTTACTTATGCCATGTAAGTAAAATGTAAGGTTCACATAAAGATCATTTCAACTTTATTTTCATTAGGATTTTCGCTAACAGATACTTCAGGACATTTCGTGATCACTAATTCTGACAAAATCCTCGTCCTTTTCTGAAAACTGTTTGTCAGAATTTGAAGTTCCAGCATTGTGTGCAGATGAATTTGGGCCGATTTCTTCCTTATCGCTGTCGAAATCAGTGTTCAACCAGCTCTCTAATATGTCTTCTTGAATTATAAGTCACTTTTTCGATTCGCCATGACTAGAAACTGGAACAAAAAACAAAAATTGATAAAATATGTCATACAAAATCTTCCGTATTTATTGGACTCACATGTAAACCATTACTCATGTTTGGAGCAACGAGCAAAACATGTCCATCTCACAGTGCGCGCTTCGGCGTGCCATCGGAACGTACTGAGGAGTAGGAAGAGCTGGGTCGCCTGCAGTGATTACTACGCGAGTTTTAAAGAATGAACTTGCATCCATTGGACACACGACTATAGTTAAGGGTTAATATGATATTCGCAGAGAGGCTTTAGTTGACCTACTTTAAGAGGTAACAATAGGTTTACAGATAACAAAATAGCTGTAAATAAAGTAATAAAATTATCTTTTAATTGAATAAAAATATAATGGCATACTCAATTATTTGGTCAAGTGTGAGTTATCCATAAAAATATATAAAACTGATTTTTTTTTAAAGTTACTGATGTCAATTTACGGTAACGTACTTTCGATATCAGTTAAAGCTTTTTCATATCTCTTATATTTATGGAATACTCGCCTGGGCACACTTAACGATTACACCCTGTATTGTTTATGAAATATACGAGTGTGTTGCATACATGCGTGTAGTACTTATGGTTACGAAAATGTCGTTAATAAAATAAACTTGAAAAAACTGTCTCAAATCTCACCTCCTTCGGCATCCGTTTCCTGCTTTTCCTGATAGACGTTAAAATAAAAGAAAAACCAAAATATAAAACAAACATACTTACTATATAAATAAATACATTAAACACACGTCGAATACGTATAATGCCATTTGATTTAATGCTACAATATCAATAGAATTTCAATAAATGAACTTTTGTCAAATTATTTTTCTAATTATCTGCGTTTTGAAAGTATCTCTAAGAGACAGTTTGTATATGACCTTAAACGGTAGACCACCACTATGCCCCGCACACATTATTCAGGTTCCCACAGAACATCGAGAAAGACGCAGTTTCATTTGTGGTAAAAAAATACATTCGTGTAAACTGCCGAGAGAGGATAATTTTGAATAAGTACGTTCTCTTTCCTTTCGCCGATTTTTATAAGTATTTTTCATATTTTCTCTGATGTGCTTATTAATTATCCTTACCCGTAGTATTTATGTAATTTACGATGTTGGTAAAGCGCAAAATTTATTTATTATTATTCATTAGAGAAAATTTAAAGCAGTCTCAATTTAAAGCCTCATTACCTTCTTCCTCACTACCTTCATTTACCATCGCTATTTTGAACGAAACGAAGGTAATGAGGTCAAAGTTATGGTAATTAGAATGTATTTCAGGGAAACCATTTTATTTTTACTAATTTAATTTAACAATCTTTAATGGGTATATATTATTTGCGTTGAAAATGTGTTTATTGCAGATATCTCTGATAGATAAAACTGATTAAAGATGCCGAAGAAAACTAAACAAAGAAAAGAACAGAAATAAGAGCACGATCCATTACAAAAGAAGTAAAATTAGGTTACTGTAAAGCAGGGTTTCTTAACCTGTGGTCCATTGTCCCCTAACGGGGCCGGGTAATGAACCGACCGAACCGGGTTGGCGAGAATACCTAACATAATGGAACAGCAACCGTCACACTTAACTATACATGTGTAATTAAGTTAAAGTTTAACCGCAAACAATGTAAGCTAGTAAAAGCTAAACCTAATTTTTTTTTGTATTTTCGGAGAGGGTCCGCCGGCTCTTTGACATTTTGAGAGGGGTCCATGACTAGAAACAAGTTAACAAACCCTGTTATAAAGTAAGGTGCAGAAAGAGAAAAAAATATATCGAATACTAGAAACGAAAAGAGCAGAGAAAAATAAAGAATGTGGATGATCCTTCTCGTCGAAAATCACAAGTTCAAAGAAAATTATGGAGAATAAATAAAAAGGATATTATGAAAAGAAAAAGAAAGCGAAAGTCATATTAATACAAAATTCTCCACCAAATAGTGATACTGAAGAAATTCCTCCCGAAAAAGACCCACTCAATGAACAAACTCAAAATCCCTAGTCTCGATCATCCATGAACTGCACCAACGAAAGTAATTCTTACCAGAATTGTTCAAAAAAAGAAATTTTATCGAATATTTTATAACAAATAGGATTACTAAAGAATGAAATAGAAAAAAGTAATAAAGACGAGGACGTTCAGCAAACGCTGTTTTTTTTCTTTTTATACATTGACTTACAAATAAATGGACGACGGGTCTAATACAAAAACCACGAAAAAAATGTCCCAAGTCAACCCATTCGAAATTTAAATTATTATGTCATCGCAGTATCGCGCTGTCCGTAGAACAAATGAAGACTAAAGCGGAGTGTCGCGCTCTGTATACGATTTTAGCGCCTTACAAGTGCGGACACTTTTTAGCGCGGACCCGACGTCCATATAATTGTAAGTCAATGTGTTTATAGTATTAAGTGACGGGACGAACAAGTAGTGTGCCTGACGGTACGCTACACGCCTATCCATAATAGTTAGTACTGTTTTTAAACGTACAGCAGATCAAGCTGTCCGTTTTGACAATGAATGAACTAATTTTGTACATTCTTGGGTTATATCCCACCTAAAGTAAACATTGAGATTCGTGTTATTACTCAAAACGACATTGAAGTAGAAGTTTTCCACCAGACTTAAAAGCAGCAAAATGTACTAAAGAGGTGCTCAATTGACATTTGAATATATCAAGCGCTTAGGACAAAAATCTGAAATATATAATAATCTCTAATCTCTTGCTTAAAAATCTTTTGAGAAAACTTTATTTTCTCTGTGATAATGTTCTATTTGTGATCACGGGAAACGTATTGACATGGATGAGAATACAACACCAGAGCTGATTGGGGAAATATCAAATGACACAAAAAAATTTAAGTACAAAAGCATCAACTAATTTCCAAGATGATTTTTCAAACAGGCAACACTCACCAAAAATTAAAATACTATCGAATATTAACGTAACTAATTGGGAAAATAAGCAGTTTTATCTCAGTTTTATACTAAAGAGAAGAATATGGGTATTTTGAAAATTTTAAAAATGTATGAATGATAGTGAAACTGACAGCGAAGATGTCGAAAATAATAAATACGGAACGTGTATGGAGGTAACTAAAACTCCGAAAATACTGACTGATATTTTTGGAGTTTTTTATTTCATTTAAGGAGTATATCAAAATACACACATCAAAAGTGTCTAGGGATCAAGTGAATATTATTGAAATAAAAATTATTTAAGCAATATTTACCAAATCCAGTCTCAGGACGACTTCTTACTTTAATGCTTATGTTTTATTTAACCGCTTACCCCTATATTTAATTAAAATAAACTAAAATTGATGTTTTTGCAAATTGTGGGAAAGAACTCAAATTAACGGCGTCAATTAAATGACAAAAAAAAAATGGCGAAAATGATGATTTTGCTCATTTTTATTGTAAAGATAAGAAAATTAATAATCTGTATTTCCACCATTAACACGAATCACACAATTACAGCGATTTGGCATGCTTAAGATGAGTTCATCAAAATCACTTTGAGGAATGGCCGCCCATGTGTTTTGTAACAAGTCAAAATATTGTTGTAGAGTATGTACGGTATGCATACTTGGCACAGTTCTTCTTTGAAGCATATCCCATGCGTGCTCAATTGGATTGAGGTCTGGCGATTGAGCAGGCCACGGCAGAACGTTGATACGAGTTTCGGCAAGAATGCGTGTTACGACTCTAGCCGTGTGTGGACGTGCGTTGTCATGCATTAGTTGAAATGAATCACCCAACTGGCCTCGTAAAGGGATGATAACATCTGAAACAATCCTCTCTGCGTAAACTTGAGCATTGAGGTTACCCCTGATCCAAATGAGATCGGTTCTTCCGCCGATCCAAATACCGGCCCATATCATTATTGTTCCCCCACCATATG